TATGGATTAACATCACCACCAGATGGATGTAGCTGGCTGACCGGCCGTATTGTACTTGTAGTCCTCAATGGAACTGCATCTATATGAAGGGAAGTGAATAGAGGAGTGCCCCAGGGCTCTGTTCTGGACCCAGTGTACTTCAACATCTTCATCAATGATTTGAATGAGAGAACTCATCAAATTTTCAGACGACACCAAACTGGCAGGAATAGCCAATACTCCAGAAGACAGGCTTAAGATACAAAAGGATCTTGACAGACTTGAACACTGGGCACTATCTAACAAAATGAAATTCAATGATGAAAAAAGTAAGGTTCTACATTTAGGCAAGAAAAACCAAACGCACAGGTATAGTATAGGAGGTACTTTGCTCAATAGTAGTAACTGTGAGAGGGATCTCGGAGTCCTAGTGGACAATCACTTAAATATGAGCCAGCAGTGTGCTGCAGCTACCTAACAAGTGCTAAGCTGCATTAATAGAGGGATAGAATCAAGATCATGTGAAGTCTTAATACCACTTTACAATGCCTTGTAAAGGCCACATTTAGAATACTGTATCCAGTTTTAGTCACCATGATGTAAAAAAGATGTTGAGACTCTAAAAAGAGTACAGAGAAGATGATCAGGGCACTGGAGGCTAAAACATACAAGGAATGGTTGCTGGAATTGGGTATGTCTAGTTCAGTGGTTCTCAACCTTTCTAATGTTGTGACCCCATAATACAGTTCCCCATGTTGTGGTGACCCCCAAGTGGGTGTGGCCACCAATAAGAGGGAGTAGGACAGCTAGGGAAAAGGGAAAAAATGGCGGACAGCGTGGTTTGGCGACCCCCGTGAAATGGTCGTTCGACCCCAAATGGGGTCCCGACCCACAGGTTGAAAACCACTGGTCTAGTTTAATGAAGAAAAGAATGAGGGGAGACATGATAGCAGTGTTCCAATATCTCAGGGGTTGCTACAAAGAAGAGGGAGTCAAGCTATTCTCCAAAGCACCTGAAGGCAAGACAAGAAGCATCAGATGGAAACTAACCATCTGTTAGAGAGAAGAAACCTACAACTAAAGAGAACTGACAGTTAGAACAATTATTCAATGGAACAACCTGCTCCAGAAGCTGTGAATGCTCCTACACTGGAAGTCTTTAAGTAAAGATTGGACAGCCATTTCTCTGAAATGGTATAGGGTTTCCTGCTTGAGCAGGGGGTTGGACTAGATGACCTCCAAGGTCCCTTCCAACTTTTACTACTACTACTATTACTACTACTACTACTACTACTACTACTACTATTATTATTATATAGAGTAGGCATGTCCAACTTGCGATGTCACGTGACGTCGCGCAATGTATTGGGCTGGTTTTGCCATTGCTGGCAATGGGGTGGGCATGGCTTCCATATGACGCATCCAGCCCAAGGGCCAGCAAGTTGACACCCCTGATATAGAGGACTCAGATTGTGAACAGTGATCTAGGATAACTACATTTTTTCTCCAAATACCAAGTCATTACCATCCCTGCTATCTCATTCCTATTTAAATAAGTCTGTGTGATGCCAATGTATGTGTAAATTAACCATAAGAGCTAAGTTATGGATTCTACTTCTCAGATATGAATTAAATATGTACATTAGCACTTGCCACCAATTACATTATTTGATGTTGATATGCTACAGACAACAATGTCACATCTCTGATGGGTTTTAGGTGTTCGCTGAGATTGGCTTCATTCGTATAAATATTTCATGACTAAACTAGTTAATATAATCAATATTTTTACATGAGAGAGTGGGTTTTTCTGTCTTTTTTCATGGATTGTCTTCTGAGAGCCAAGCTACATCACTTGAATGCAAATTAGGTTCAACAGTGACTTTTAGCCACTGGATAGGGTCCTGGGTCAGTGAACCTCTGCTTCTGATGGTTATATCTTGGGTGCATTAACTGTTCAGAGCTGGAAGAAATATACATCTCCTTGTGTTTCTTTCTTTCTTTTTTTTTTTTTGCTGAACATGTTGTTGAATATCTTTCTTTTCAACATGGTTCAGCTATTTTTAATGGAACATACATACCTACACACGTGCACCATATTGAGCTTCTCCTTTTGTCAAGCTGTGGTTATCATTTGCCTGTTTCTTTCTTTTCAGTCCTTGCATTCATACATTGTTACAGTGATTACGGTACAAACTTTAGGTTTAAATATTAAAACAGTTCTCTCCAAGCTTCATTAATTGCCTCAACTTGATCTTCATTTTTCACAGAGGTTTGAATACTACATAGAGAAATCAATACAATGCTTTTAGTGCATTCAAAAGGAAATAATCCATGAATTTTCGGCAAAAAGCTTTTTTGTCTGCCCAAAATAAATGAAATCCACATTGCTGCTTATGAAATATGTTGTTTAAGGTGAAGTTGGGACAGTTTAAACCTTTGCATATTTGTGAGCATTGTTGCTATCAATATTTTATTTCCAAGAATGAAAAACAAGACCGATAGAAACCATGCAAGAAAATATATCACTATAACAATCCATAATGAAAAAGTATGCTATAAAGGGGAAAAAGAGGTGCAAAAAAATTATATTATCCAATCTATTCTAATAGGTGGAAAAGAATTCTATTTATTTTAAATATTTACCCTCCAATTGATATTCCTCCTAGTTAAGCCATTTCTCATACCTACGATAACAGATTTTTCCCCAAATTTTAGCATCAACACTTTTGCTAGTATTATATTTCAGATCAATTCTACCCAGCAATTATTATTTATTTTCTTAATATCTGTAAGCATAATTTTATTTGTATATGGCTAACTATCTATATATCATTGATTATTTATAAATTAAGTTCTTAAAACAGAAAGGATTTTCAGAATTTCTCAGAATCCAAGTCATGGTCTTCTTCTCAATTGTTCTATAACCAAATAATTGTTTATTTTATTTTATCATTTTATTCAATTTGTACATCATCTCTAGATGAATCTGAGTATATTACAAAAAGAACAAAAACTATTAAAAAAGTAAAATAAGAGCATAAAAGAAGATACAAACGTGGCAAAACTGGGTAGCAACAAACACACCCAGTCCTAAAGCTATATTATTTCAAATCTTTATTAGCAAAGAATAAGCTATAAAGACTTGTATTTGGGGAATATTTATTAAAGCCAATAGAAGTAGGATTCAGTCAAAATATATTTAATGCACATTGAGAGACATTTGCTTTTTAATTCATATGTTTCATCTAATTCATCCTCAGTTTCACACTTTACTGCAGGGATCCCCAACCCTGGATCTGTGGACTGGTACTGGGCCATAGCACGCCAGCAACCGGTTTGCATAAACAACCAAAGCTCCATCCATGGAATGTAGGCAGCACACAAAACCAGACACTTTCCAGTCCATGGAAAAATCTTTCTCCATAGAACTGGTCCCTGGTGCCCAAAAGGTTGGGGACCTCTGCTTTATTGGGAGGCAAGCCAGTTGTTGCATTTTTTATTTTGTTATTCATTTGCTTCTGTGAATAGACATCATTGTCTGCAGCTTCTTTGAGCTTTTCTAAGTTCATGTTTGTGTCATCGCAGCAATATCTTCTGTCAGTCTCTTTTTTAAATTGCCTTTAATTTTTCCCAGCATTAGAGTTCTGACTTTTCATTATTTATCTCAGTTTTAACTTCATTATTACAAATATATCCTTTGTTTTTATTGTAATTCCACGGTTCTCAACGCCTTTTTTTAATTACCACAATTCAAAGACATTTTTCTTCATTAGCCTATTCTAATGGTCCAGCTTTCATATCCATCTGTTATAATTGGGAACAGAATACACTTTATATAATGGAATAGCAGGCTAGTTTTGGCACTTTCTCCCTTCAAATTCCTTAAATCTTCTTTACTTCTAGTCATCAATATGGTATCATCACCATATCTGAGGCTGGTCATATTTTTTCTGTCAAAGTTAATTCCAATTTTTATTTCTTCTAATCTAGAGGTCCCCAACCTCCAGGCCCCAAACCAGTATAGGTCCATGACCTGTTAAGAACCAGCTGGAAGTGAGCAGTGGGCAAGCAAGCGAAACTTCATCTGTATTTGCAGCCACTCCCCAATGCTAGCATCAATGCCTCAGCCCAGTGGTGGGATTCAGCCGGTTCGCACCACTTAGCCGATAGCTAATTTTTTGTTGCCCAGGCCGAAAATGGATTTCTAGAAGCGGCATCCATACAGAGAACTGGTTGTTCACATATTTGAATCCCACCACTGCCTCAGCCCCACCTCTGATCATTAGCCATTAGATTCTCATTGGAGTGTGGACCCTATTGTAAACTGTGCATATGAGGGATCTAGGTTGCGCACTCCATTTTCCCCCACCAGGTCCATGGAAAAATTGTCTTCCACAAAATTAGTCCCCAAAAAGATCGGGGACTACTGTTCTAATCCATCATTTTTACATTATATTTTCCATACAGATTAAGTTAAAAGGTTGAATCTTAGCATATGCTTTTCCCAATTTTCAACCATTTTCAATATTCAATTCTAACTGTTGCTTCATGGGTTATCATACCAATTCTTCAACAGGAGGTGAAGCAGCTCAATACAGTGCTTAAGGAATGTCCATAATTTGATGCAATCTACATAGACAAAGTAGAACAATCTGAATAATTTGAAGAATCAATAAAGCAACTATGGTTGTCTTTTTGCAACTCCTAAGCTTTTCCATTATCAACCGTTTAATAGTATGATCTCAGATGCCTCCGCTTCTTCTGAATCCATCTTGTACATCTGGCAGCTGAAGCCTGGATTACAAACTCTTACTTACATGTGATGTATATGCAATTATATAGTTAAGCATTATTTCGCACTTTTCCTTTTTGATATTGGAATAGAAATGAGTATTTTCCAATCCTTTTCACCCTTTCTGTGTCCTTATCTGCTTATAAACTGAAGTAGACTTTTATTCTGTTATTAATAGGTGAGAAATTTTAGCACTTCTTATACATTAAAAATAATTTTGTTATAGATTTTAATGGGCATGCCATATGGAAGTATACCTAGAAAAATTGTTCCCAGGGCTGAACAACCCACTGCTATGGATTTCTCTGTTCTTTGGGATTTTGAGGTAGGTACTTCTTGCATTTTTGTTTAACCTTAGTTCCTCAGTCTTTTATGATTAAGGGTACGGGCTAAGCAAAAAAGATTAAATGTAAGCATCACAAATGAAATGTATATTGCTGGTCATCCTACTGAAACAAACATTGTTACATAATATATTTATTTAAATGAACTATATATATAAAATAAGTATCGTAGAAATGTACAATGACATAAAGCCTGGTTCGGTTTTCATTCTCCTCTGTTAGGGGAATATTATTTGGGAATGGAAGAGCAGCTTATGTGATTTCTTCAACAAATGCATAACACATTTATTGCTTTGTGAATTTGGACTATGGGAATTGGAATTTGTTTAATGTGGAGCAATATATAAAACAGTAAGACGCAAAGTTCACCGACTACAGAAAAAATTGTGAAAGAGTAAAATTGCACTTATTTATTTAAGGAAGCACAGGGAGTAGGAAGCGAAGAAAGAAACTAAAAATGTGTTTAATTTTTTTTTTAAATGTTCTTTTGATTTATAAGACAAGAGTTATCTTAACTGTGCAGCAGTCACAATAAATATATAAATAATGGTAAATAATAATAATCTCTGATTCCATTGAAGAGGTATTTTGCCTCTGTAAAGTAGCTAATGACCTTTTGGTTTATTTATTGGGGTTTGTCTATAAAGAAATAAAGTGCTCCAGCCAAAGCTAACAACAGCATTCAATGTGACATACTCTAGAAAAACATTATTTTCAAAGGACACAAGAAAACATATTGGGAATCAACGGGATAGCAGGGAATTAAAACTAACCTCATCTATTTCTGCCATCAAAACCTGATTACTTTTCCATTCTGGTGATATGGACAACCTGGCCAGGCAAATAAGCCTTTAATCTCAAAACACCTGAAGAAGAATATCAGACATTCCTTTCTCTTTCTAACAATAAACAGATGAATTGGCTTTTTTTTAATACACAAAATCAGTTGCCTAAGGCAGATAAACTAGTCCTGTGTCATTCAGTTATGAAGAAACATACCCTACAGGCACAACATTTCCTGTAGTTCAAAGATACAGGTAATCCTTTACTGAAAATCATTTGTTTAGTGACCATTCAAAGTTACAACAGCATTGATAAAAGTGATTTATGACCATTTTTCACACAACTATATTTTAGCATCCCTATGGTCACATGATCAGAATTCAGATGCTTGGCAAATGGCTCATATTTATGACGGTTGCAGTATCCCAGGTTCATGGGATCATCTTTTGCGACCTTCTGACAAGCAAAGTCAATGAGGAAACCAGATTCCCCATAACAACTGTGTTATTACCTCAACAACTACAGGGACAACCACAATTGAGCCCAAAATTTTTGTTGTTAAGTGAAACATTTGTTAAGTGAATTTTCCTCATTTTACCATCTTTCTGGCCATAGTTGTTAAGTGAATCATCGTAGTTGATAAGTTAGTAACATAGTTGTTAAATGAATCCCCATTGATTTTGCTTGTCAAAAGGTTGCAAAAGGTGATCACAGCAACAGTCATAAGTGTGAGTTAGTTTTCCAAGCAGCTGAATTCTGCTCACATGATCATAGAGATGCTACAAAGATCGTTAAGTGTGAAAAACAGTCATAAATTACTGTTTTCAGTGCTGTTGTAACTTTGAACAATCACTAAATGAACTTTTATAAGTTGAGGACTCCCAACAGTGATTCACTTAACAACTGTGGCAAGAAAGGTTGTAAAAAAACTCAATTAATAAATATCTTGCTTAGCAGCATAAATTTTGGGTTTAATTGTGGTTGTCAGTCAAGGACTACCAGTGTATTTTATTCAGTATATGGTTGGTTGAGGGTCATTGTTGTCTCTGGTTGGCTGTACGGTTGGTTTGGACACCCACACCTGAAGCCTTTATAAACAGAAGAGCACTGACACAGACATCTCCTAAACTCCGTTGAAGATGTTACCTAGTCCAGTTATGAATGTTTGGAAACCAACCCACAAGCTTGGAGAATGAACTTTCACCTTCACATATGTGTAAATCCAATCCTAAGAATTGTATTATAGAAATTATAACACCAGATAAACTATATGTTAGCATTTTATAGTGATCCTTATCCCATGGTACTATCTCTGCAGGCTCACAAAGTTAACATATCTGTGGATGCATTGAAGGTCAGGACAATATATTTCATAGAGTATATATCATTAAGATTAGATTTAACAGTGAAAAAGATGAATAGTCAGTAATATTGATCCCAGTATGCCCAGCTTCAGGTAGCATAGATGAGCTAGATTTCAGCTCAAATAATATTTTTCCAGTAAATCAGTTATATAACAAGATGACAGACAGGTTTCATTTTAGCTGAAGACATTCATTTTGGAAAAATGTTCTGCAGGCTATAATTTTCATTTTATGCTTGCACTGGAAAAAGTCAGAGAAATAAGAGGTAAGACATTTCAAGACCACCGCCAATAAGAATATTTTTAATGATAATAATAAATTCTGAGTCTTAACATAGAAAAATGAGGATGTTCATATTGTTTATTTTATTTTTGCATTTGCAACATGATAATGAAAGAACAGATCTAAACACTGCTATGGAAAATGTGCTAAAATGATTGTAAGCATGGAACAGAATATAGGAGGATTAGAGTATACAGGCTCTTCCCATATTGTTTAGAAAAACAGAAATAATGCTCTCATGACACTGCTATGACAACATAATTTGAGGAAACTATTATTTGAAAAGATGTTTTCTGACATGTAATACTTACTGATTATTTGAAAATTGTTTTTAAAATGTATGTACCTGAATACATTTACCAAATCTAGCTGCCAAATCCAAATACTAAAAAGTAATGCTTACTGAATTCAGATATTTTTAAATAAATACATTGAAGATTATGTTAAAATTGATACCATATAGAATGTACTAGATAGACTTCAATAACCAGAATTTTAAAATGAAACCAGTTGATCCTCAACCAGCCACTTATAATGGAATAACCTTAGATTTTAAATTATGTAAATGGACATCTGATATGGTCCTTTCCTCCTTTCAGGGTTATATTAAACATTCAGCCATTTTCTATGGCTACTACAACAATCAAAGAACAATTGGTTGGTTAAAGTACAGGCTACCAATGGCATATTTCATGGTTGGTGTCATCGGCGTGTATGGTTATAGCCTGATGGTTGTAATAAGATCGTAAGTTCTATTTGTTCTTTATGTAGTTCCACACTATATATTCTTCCCATGAAGCAACCATATCCCTTTCAAACTGAATAGAAGGAAACAGGGAAAGATGTACATCTTCAGGATATTGACCTTGCTTTATTGCACTATCCCAAAAAATACAAGGAATATATATCAAAATTGAAACTGCCCACTTATTCTATCTTAATCATAAAATCCAAGAAATTGGAGAATGCCAGCTTAATCTGAGACTATATGGTATATTGGTATGGCACTTATTTGAAGGTTTGCCTGAACAGCATATGTGAGGCATTTGTTCATTTATTCATTCAGTCATTCATTCATTCAGTCAGTCAGTCAGTCAGTCAGTATGTCCCTAAATAGTGATAAAGATTTTAATAAATGTTTAATAAGTACAGAGAAAACACAGAAATTGCTGCAAAAAAATCTGTGCATAAGAGAGACACCTGGTGGCTAAATAGACTATATATTATTCCATCTACAGGATGGCCCGGAATGCCCATGAAGACACAGGGGATGGAGATGATGAGAACTTCATTTTTAGCTGGAAAATGTTCACTAGCTGGGACTACCTTATAGGCAATCCAGAGACAGCAGATAACAAATTTGCATCCATCACAACTAGCTTCAAGGTACCCTCCAGGCAAGATGCAAACACCTCTGTTGTATTGCAACTTTGGCAAAATTTCAAAGGAGAAAATATAGACATTTTACATAACAACTGAATCCTCACATCCAGCATTTTATCAGAAGATGTACAGTTGTTTTTCTTAAATTGTAGCTACTTGTATGATCAGTATCTTCATTGGAAGGTTTCATTGACAATATTGTTGCTCTATATAGTCAATATTGAGGTCCCATGTGATACATTACAAGTATCTCATGTTGCTTGCTTTTTTTAACACAGGTATATAATTTTTCAATTTAATATTCTCATCAAACATAGACAAACTTTTTAAATATATGATAATGAAATTGCTAAAGGTTTTAAGGCCCCTAGTTTCAGGGAAATTCTATCTTTAACTTTGCATGGAGATACAGTCAGAATTGATGAGCAATTTGGAGGTCTTCCTGGACTCTCGGCTCTTGCTCCAAGGACAAATGGCAAATGGTGGCATTTTGCATTGGTTTGCCTTGTGCACCAATTGCACCCATTCCTGGGCCAATGGTAACTCAGACATCCACAGTTTAGATTATTGTAATGTTCTTTATATACTACAGCCTTTGAAGAGCATTCAGGAGCTACAGCTGGTTCAGAATACTGAGGCATAGACATTTTTTTGTTATTTCTTGTTATGCCTATGTAACACTGTTGCTGCACTGACTCTTAATAGGCTTGTGGGTGTGATTCAAGGTGCTGGTTATTATTTACAAAGCCGTCAATGGCATAGGGCCAGGCTATTTACAGCACCATCATTCTCTTATTGTTTCTGCCCGTCAGAGTTAGTAGAGAGGGCATGATCCAGTTTCCTTCTATTAAACAATGTTATCTTGTTGAACCATGGAAACAAGTCTTCGCAGTGCCAGCACTTTTCCTCTGGAACAGTATTCTTGCAAAATCAAGAAATTGAGTAGGTTGGGTCATAGGAGGAAGCAGTTGCACAAATTTCATTTTCATCATCCCTTTCTAAGGGAGAAACATACATATATGTAGGTACTAGAACTAGATCCAGCCATCTCCACCTTCTTTCGTTCATTTGTAATCAAAATAATTAAAGTCAGTTTTTGTATATCACTATATTCATCTGCATTTTAAGAATGTAACAAGAAAGCAGCAATAGATTATAAAAGCTCGCTATTTATAGCTGGTTATAAAATGTATTTAAATGTTTATAAAAACTGTTATCATCCATATGTTATGAAATAGAGTGTCCTTTATTTAAAAATCACAACTGTATTTGTTTTGCAAATGAATGTGTATACAGTAGGCTGAAATCCTACATACCCTATGCAATAATTATTCCCATTGTTTCTTACATCTATATTAAGGAGTCAATTGTGGATGAGCAAGAAAGCAACAAAGATGAAAACATCCATCTAAGAAGATTTCTGAGGGTTCTGGCCAATGTACTTATAATATGTTGCTTATGTGGAAGCGGCTACCTCATTTATTTTGTTGTGAAACGATCCCAGGCCTTTTCAAAAATGCAAAACATTGGCTGGTATGAAAGAAACGAAGTAAGACATTTGTATAGTACTGGTACTGCTTCTGTTGCCCGGTTCAGACAAAAGTCATCTGTTACTGCATTGTACTTCAATTGCTTTTAGCTTTTATTAGTACCTTCGGGACCATCTCTTATCAAATGAATCTGACTCTCTGGGCATATGATCCAGAAGAAGAAAGTGTTTCAGAATTCACCATCCAAGAGAGATAGAGAGCCCTAAAATGATTGCTGCATCCCTTGGAATAGCTTCTTTCCAGATGTTCTGGTTCCCCCTGTTTTGCTATCACTTAGAAAGCACTAAAAAAAATGGGAATCTAAACAGCTGTTCACATTACTTTTTATGGGATGGGGGATGGAAGTGAAGCTCTTTTTGTTTTAATATTAAATTTACTCGCATTCTGGTCTTCATTTTTCAGCATGGATAGAATTGTAGGGCAGATAATGGAGACAACAATAGAGCCCACTTTCACTTTCACACAATAGTAAAGTCAGGATAATGACTGTCATGGTATGACTGAAGCTCCTAATACTATAGACAGAGTTTGGTCATCCATGACCTCCCATCTTTTATTTAACCTTGCTAGCTCTGTGATAGTCCCATTTCAGTGAAGAGTTTCCAAGATTCTCAGTCAGCAGCAGGTGTGCACGTAGCTGATCCCATTGTGACAAAAATTCTCTTTTTTCTTTTTTGCAGGTTGAAATTGTTATGTCACTACTTGGAATGTTTTGCCCTCCACTGTTTGAAACTATTGCAGCCTTAGAAGATTATCATCCTCGCATTGGGCTGAAATGGCAACTGGGACGCATCTTTGCACTTTTCCTGGGGAATCTGTATACTTTCTTACTGGCCTTAATGGATGACGTCAAGGAAAAGGTGAAGAATGTAAAAGGGCATACACTCGTTTATATGCAATCAGCCTTGCCTATTATATAACAGTGCCCCATATTTCGTGGCTCACTGTTAGCTTTGGCTTTTTAAACTGCTTTAATAGGAGAGAAAAAAATATAAAATCTGGCTGCACAAAAGAGAGATTTGGAAAATCTTCTTACTTTGGATTTACAAAAGGAATGTATATAATAATAGAAAGTCTTTCTTAGAAGAGAGAAAAAGGAATTTTTCAAGCTGCTCTTTGGAAAGAGACAAAGAGATAGTGATAAGAAATCAGCTTGTGAGATATTATTTGATGGGACTAAAGATTAAACTTTTTAAAAATGTAAAGATTTATAAAGTGAATTTGTTTGACAAGGGTTAAATATATATTCCATGTAGCTTCTGATAGCTGTTAATGGAAGTTCTTTTTCATCTAGGCCAGTGTTTGTCAACCTTGACAATTTTAAGTCATGTGGACTTCAACTCCCAGAATTCCACAGCCAGCAATGCTGGCTGTGGAATTCTGGGAGTTGAAGTCCACATGACTTAAAATTGTCAAAGTTGAGAAACACTGATCTAGGCTGTATGTCTAAGCTTTAAATATTTATTTGAGAGTGGGAAAATATTTCTTCTGTCTTATTTGTTGGAGAAAATTATAACTTTGGATTATAAAATTGAATGTTTTTATTAAAATTAAAATATATAGGTTAATATTTCTGGTACCTCTTAGCAGACTTTTGCTGATTACGACTGAATGATTGTTTTTTTTTTTTTAATTTGACTATGGATAAGATGTGAGATATAGGAAAAGAGATTTTTAACTGAAGTATTATTTTTACCGAAAATATTAAGTTAGCTAAATTGCTTGTACTTATATGTAAGGAGTGGGAAGCCATTTTTATATAGCTTTTCTTTTATTTTCCTTTATTTTTTTCTATTTTTTTCTATTTTTCTTTATTTTTTTATTTTTCTTAATTTATTTTACTTTTTTATCTTTGTATTTGTAAATTTTATTTAATTTTTTTAAAAAAGATATAATCACATATCTACCACATTTGTTGTGATGGCCATTCATTGTTTTTTGCTGAAGATATTAATACTCCTGAGCATCCCAGAATAAGCCATTTTCCACCAATAATGAAATTTGGTTGAGTTCCAAATGACATCAAAACAATTTGTTTTCATTGCTGTTGTTATATGTGGAATCTTGTTAAGGCGCCAGCATGCAGTTTAAATAGCTAATACTCTTGTATTACAATTTTTTTCTTACTTAATTTTATTTCAGTCATTGACAAGTATAAGGTAACTGGTATTCAATAATTCAAACCATCCTAAATAAAATTGTCAATGTGAGAATAGTTTTAAAAAGTGCATACAGAGAAAAAGTTTTGGCTAAAGGATAATATTAAATCAAAATATGCTCAAGGTTTGCCCAGGCTACATGCAGACAACAAGAAGAAATTAAAATTAGAAATCTGGACAATACAAAGTTGGAATAGCAATGTAAAATACAAATACATAGAAACACACACACATACACACATACACACACACATACACACATATATGAAACCATAAAATTATCCAGAATTACCCTTTTTTCCTATTGCAGCTGACTGAAGAAGGTGTGATCAGGAACATAACGCATTGGACTATCCTAACCTTCCATAACTCAACTTCAAGGAATGGAAGTGCTCTTATTCCACCGCCAATGGATCCAGCTGATGTACCTCGAGGACCTTGCTGGGAAACAACTGTGGGAATAGTAAGTAAATAAAAAAGCAGTTATGCTGTACAGTGCTTCAGACAATGTTCTGATAGAGTTCATTCCAGTCAAATTAATAGCAAATTATAGTCCATGCACTTGAAAATCATTTAATAGATTCAGAAAATAGTTATCAGTCTATAAACTTTTATAAAAAGAACTACAGGAATAAGATAAGTGATTAAATGTTCCTCTAACATATCTTCTCCATCTTTACCAAGTATTGACGTGGATACTTAGTTCAACTACACCAAATATAGTTTTCCATATTCTTATTTCATAAACCTTTTTTTATTTCCATAGCTTTATTTCAGGTCACTGAGGATATTTCCAAAGAAGACTTGCATAAGGAAATGGCCGGCTTCCTTTACCATTTATTCTAGTCAATCATATTTTCTGACAGAGGGGCTATTTTTCCTAATTTACACAGGTCAATCTTTGATTTCAACATTTATTTTATTTATTTTTATAAGATTAACCAATTTGATTGTGGATGTAAGGATAAATTTTCACTGAAAGGGAAAGCGATAACTTCAGCAATAACTGAAAGGGAAAACAAATTGCCATTTTGGGTTTATCCCAACTTTTAGTTACCCCATCCCTAAAATGGGCATCCACCTCAACTCCATGCCATCAGAAATTCAACCTCCTACATACTTCCTCCAGCAGTTTGAAAGCAGGCTTTGGTAGGTTTAGGCTGGAACATTTTATTTTGTGACTAGCCTTGTAAACCATGACCTACAGAGGTCCTACTACACTGATTCTTAAAATGTAATCCCCTGGAGGTTCCCTAATATCCTCTCATGGCTCCATGAAAGAATCAGGATTTGCCAGTCTATGTTAAAAAAAAATAATATAATATTAAAATCTCATCAAACAATTGGTGGATGCTGCAAGTATAAGCAGCAAAGGCATTGATTTTAATTTTTAATATGATAAATATTGACAAATATAACTCATGCAAACAAAGCTTTTTTTGTTGTCCATAATTTTTAAAAGTGGAAAGAGGTTCTGAGGGAAAATATTTAAGAAACAATATACAAGTAGATGATATTTATAAGATTTGCCTCATATAAAAACCTTATAGAATTCTTTTTTTAAAAAAAACAAATATTGTTTCTTTCTTTTTGTAGATTTCCATAGTTTAGGCTTTCCAATTTCTGCAAAGTTCAATATTTCATTTTTTCAGTAACTTGAAGAAAACTGATTTCTCATGTGAAATCCTTAAGTGACTGAAAAATGATGACGTGCTAGAACTCTGCATTTATTTATTTATTCTCCTAAAACTCCCTAAACAAGACAGGGAAAAGATAGATAGATTAAAAAAATGAAATAATAATAAAAAAGAAAGCAATCCTGCTTTCTGAAATGCAATCCAGCTTCCTAAAAAGTCTTGGCTAATGCTAAAATTTAATAGATTATAAAAGGGCTGGAAAGAAAGGACTTCTTTTTAAAGTGATGGCTTTGTTTGTCTAAATAAATGTGCATTTTGATACTTGTAACTTTTCATGTATAAATTTAACATGCATTTTGCACACAGCATTATTTACCTGCCCAAGTCAATCCTTGGCAGGCAGGATGAATCTTTCTTCAGCTGCTTTCCAACTGTTTTGAAATCCCATAAGTAGATACCTATTGCCCAGCTAGAGCAAAGAGATTGGCCCTTGCTTTTCCAGAAGAAAAAGGTTTGAGAGGTACTATCCAATAGAGGATATGGTAGCTGGACAATACTGGATAATATGCCAGCTGCTGCTAAATTCCCATCTCAACAAGATTTTTAAGCCAATTTAAGCATTTTTTAAAGACTAAATATGGTGCATTTCATTTGGAGAATAGGCTAATCAGGCCATTTAATTGTGGCCTTCATCATTGTAGTGAGATATTATTTATTTCCATTAATTTATAATTTTCTGAAATTTTCTTCTACACGCCAACTTTTACAGAATTATTGGTTTCCTTATAGATTGCCATGTCATTTAATAGTCTATTAAGGCTTTCACCTTGACAGCTTCGGGCATGGAGGGAATTAATATAGTCACTGTCTTGAGGATGGGTGCAATGGGTCCACTTACCAAGGATTCGCCCTCTGAGCTGTCGTCTGAGGCGTCCACCGGCCCTGTGGTGTAGGCTGGAGTTCCTTCCCCACGTTGGGCAGAGTTTGGGGATTCCACAGCCTCTATCGCTCTCATGGTGGGTTCTTTTGGCTTAGCTGGGGACTTCCCGGATTTACTGGCGGGTGATCTGTCTGGGTTGTGCTGGGAGGCTTTCGAGCTGCATTCTACAGCCCGATGCCCCTCTCTCCTGCATTTGAAACATCCCGTTGGCTTCTTGGCCATAGCCGGTGGCTTCGCTGGCTCACGGATTGGTTCAGGCGGCGAGCAGCCCCATGGTTTTCCTCGGCTGTGCCTCTTCAGTAGGCCGATCTCTGCTTCCTCTGCCAGGACATATGACTTGTTGAGTTGGTGTGGCTCCCCCAAGGGCAGGCAAGTGTCATACAGGTCATAATTTAGGCCATCTTTGAAATGGCTAAGGAGGATGTCTTCCGGCATCTGTTCAGCTTGCTGGGAGTGATCCAGAATTCTTGTGTATATTCAGCTACCGGGCGTCTGCCTCGCCTCACTGGGAGTTGGGGACAGACTGAAGTTGGTTGGTGTGGTATTCTGATTTGTGATTTAGTGCTTCCAGTCAGTAGTATTATTAATATAATCAGTCATATGTTTAGACTGGATTGGATTTTTATCCACCTACTAAGTCCTTTCCTGGGACAGGCAGATATTGTTGTTTTGATAGTGTTAAAGGTATCATCACAGGATTTAAACTGTTCCAAATAAAGATGCCTTTTGCAATGAACTAATGGTAATTCTACTCCTCTTCCTCCTCCTTCTCCAGTGTTCCCCCAATTTTTCCTCATTTTTATTTTCTCAGGTTTTCTTGTTTCTACCTACCCTAACAAATTTATTCCATGTAAAATAGAAAGGAAATTGTAGGAAGTTCTAAATAAATCTTTTTCAATTTTTGCTCTGTTGCAGGAATTTGTGAGGCTTACAGTATCTGATATTCTTGTGACATTTGTAACGATCCTAGTGGGAGATTTTCTTCGGGCTTGTTTTGTCAGATTCGTAAACTACTGCTGGTGCTGGGATCTCGAGGCTGGATTTGTAAGTAGCTATTTGCAGAGGAAGCACAAGTTTCAGCTTAGAATAGATTTAAGCAAATGCTTTAAGCTGATCTTTTATATATTTTCTTTGTTCAACTTCTAGTGAAGACTACAGGAATTGAATTGCATAATTCAGCAGCAGCAACATCTCTTATCTTTCCCGTCTCAGATCATCAAGATGGCTAGTAACATTTTAAAAACTAAATGTATCTTTTAAAAAAAGAGAAAAAAAGAGAAAATGAAAACCTTAATGTATGCAAATATTAAAATGTTGATTATACAAATACAAGGGAAATCACAAAATCCCATGAATGGTAGTGTAAAAATGTTCATTGACTTAATGAACTGTGCAGATAGGATTAGAAAAATCTCTCTATGCATCAGGTACTTTATTTACTTCTTTATTTGTCTGTCTATCTATCATTTATTAGATTTATATCCTACCTTTTGTACAGGCATATAAGTTGGCATACACGCTCTTCCTATTTGTCTCCACAATGGCCAATCTATGTGATAAGGTGGACACAGAGAAAGAGAGATCACCTGGCTCAAGTCCACTAGTGGGTTTCTGTAGCTAAAGATGGACTAAAACTTGCATTTCCCTATCCTTCGTCCAACATCTCAACCATCTTAACCATACTTGCTCTCTTTTGTTACAGTTGATTCCCAATTAACATTCCTAACATCTCCACTTACAGGGTCTTATAAAAAAGAGCTATAAAGGATATCAGCTTAGGTTTTGGGGAGAGTTGAATAAGGCTTATTAGCATTTACATCATATTTCTTGTTTTCTCAACAGCCTTCATATGGAGAGTTTGATATTAGTGGTAATGTGCTAGGTTTGGTCTTCAATCAAGGAATGATCTGGTAAGATACTCTAGCATGTTAACATTATTAGCTAGAGAAAATGGTAACAGTTATTGTTACATCTTCACTGAACTGAAGGAAAATTGCTATGTATTCTATTTTTGTGCTTTTTCAGAGTTGCTGAAATATTCCATATTTTTTCAAGACATTTTAATAGAACCAGGCCATCTTACAGAACTTTGGATTTTTTTTCTCATTTGAATTCATCTTTTTTTCAAAGATTGTGGGATCCCATGGGATCTCAATATGCACATTAAACTGTTTAATTTCTTACAGATCTAGTTTTCATGGGTTGCATAACTGCCATGTAGCTGTTTCAGTTATATTATTGTCCCACACCTATGGCAAGTTCCATTCTAATTCTAGTTTTATTGGTTAGAAAAAAGAAAGAGAGATCTTCCGCATTTGTATCTCCTTCATTATATTTGCGTTCATTACATGTTGAGATTTTAGATGTTCATTCGCTTTTCCATTTTATAAGATTGGAAGACAAGTTAGGAGAGAAAGCCCACAGAATTCAAGGTATTCTGATGGGCCTGTCAGTAACTTTTGAAACCAATGATCATTGTATCCTTCTGATCTGTCAGAACTGGATGTTGGAGGGCATTGCCTTAAACTAGTGCTCTGCTCCAACTTGGCATACATTTTCCAGAGAGTAATTTAGAGCTTTGCTTTATAGTGACTAGGTGATGGCAATTCTGAGACCTCAATGTTATTGTCCATATTATTTATAGTCTAGATCAGGGGTTCCCAACCAGGGGTGCTTGCACACCCTGGGGATATGAGACAATATTCCAGGGGGTGTGAAAACTTGGGTTTTCAAAATTATACTGTATATACATAATTCATTGCCATTTTATTTCAAACTTTTGTAAGGAGTGCGAGAATATATCAGAAGCGTTCTAGGGCTGCAGGGTATAAAAAAGGTTGGGAACCACTGGTCTAAATATAATCCCTGGAAGTGATTATCTGAAGTTGTGGGTTGTCATAAATAAGGCTATAACATTCAAGCTTGTTTTGTTTTGTTTTTTATAGAACATAGATGAGGCAATGAATGTCCTGTATCAGCATCTGGAAAAAAATTCAGTAAATTCATGGTCTATGGCAAATTCACAGTGCTAACTGCATTGATTCACTTGCCTTCTGCATAATTAATTGTATTTAGGGAGAGGCCCTATTTCTCTCTTTCATGACACTTTATAGAATGGCTAGGATGTCAGATCATAGGCAAGACTATTGAATAAGCTAATGAAAATTGTTTTCCTTTTCTGCCACTGATGAATGGACTGATGAAAAAGCATATCTTTTGCAATCCAAAAAGCATTTTTTAATAAAAATTGACATTATAATGAAGATACTACTTCTTGGTAAAAGATCTATATTTTGATTCACTATAGCTGGTTGATATGTTACCTTTTTGAAAACAGGCAGTATCTGTCATTGTAAAAAGGGGTGTTTTTTTGTATTTCTCTTTTCCCTCTACCCTCCTCTCCATGCTTCCCCCTACCCCGCTTAATGTACAGGATGGGATCCTTTTATGCTCCAGGACTTGTGGGGATCAACGTATTACGTTTATTAATCTCCATGTATTTCCAGACCTGGGCTGTTATGAGCAGCAATGTTCCCCATGAACGAGTGTTCAAAGCTTCTAAATCCAATAATTTTTACATGGGACTCTTACTGTTGATTTTGTTCCTTAGTGTGTTACCAGTTGCATATACCATAATGTCTCTGCCTCCTTCCTTTGACTGTGGACCATTCAGGTACTGAAAAAATTTCTTCCTGATTCTTTTACTTGAATACTATTTTTCAATGATAAGTTCTCAGGAAAAAAAATACAAATTATGAAAATATAACTTTATATAATTTCCATACACTGAAATAGCAATTATAAGAAATATTAGTGAAATATTTATGTAGCTACCTAAATGATTAATCAAAAATCAAGAAATATATACTAAAATTGAAAAAATAAAATAATAATGCAAACTCATTTGTACACACTGTAATCATTCTCATATGAATATCAAAATTTAAAGTAGGTTTGACTGATAATAAATTTCTTAGATGTAAATGTTTATGATACTTCATAATATATCTATTAATTGTTTTGTAACTAGAGAAAACAGAAGTATTTGTTTTAATAATTGGATTTTAGAAAAAGGTTCTTTCAAGTTCGCACATTAACAGCCAAAGCTGAACACATCATCCATGTGGCTAATGGAATTAGTTTATAAAAACTGATAAACAAATACAGTATGTTGCTAAGTTAATAGGAGTATTGTGTCCACACAGGAAATAATAGCTTTGCTCTCATTTTTATCAAATTGCCTTTTCACATTGTGTTTTCACCAATTTCTATTAAGCTGCTAAAGTGAAGTTATTGCAGTTCTAAAGTATCTATCTATCTAGCTATCTATCTATCCATCTATCTAAATCCCACCTTTATTATTTTTACAAATAACTCAAGTTGGCTAACATATCCAACAATCCTCCTTTTATTTTTCTCTACAACATCCCTGGGAAATGACTTGGAATGAGAAAGAGTGACTATGGCCCAAGATCACCCAGCTAGCTTTCATGGCTAAGACGAGACTAGAACTCATGGTCTCCCATTTTCTAGCCTGGTGCCTTCACTATTGGACCTCACAATACCGTGTTGGACTGTCAATAGTACTTGCCTGCCTACCTTGGTCAGTCTGTTGCCCCTTTACAGGCTATGCAAATCCTTGTGCAGCAAGATTTTCAGGTTAAGAAACATCTTTCTGGGGGGAAATCAAGAGCTCTAAAGGATATTCTAGCACTTCAGATTTTGGCAGATATATCATAGGGAATTCAAGAAATTTCATCAGGGAATTAAACAAGGAACCTGTAGTTCTGATAGCAGCTGCAGTCCCGAAGCAACAATTCTTATGGAGACCATACAAATTTGGGGATCATTTTATTTAAAGATAGATGTATGCATACTGTATTGGAGGAAAAGAAAATGGTAATAAGAAAAAAGAGTTGAAAATGCAGAGGGTTTGGATAATATCGTTGGAGCTTGCTCAGTGGATCAGACAGAACATCTGGTTTCGTAAAGAAGAAATGTTATCTTGAACAAGAGGATTGCTATTTGGCAATGTTTAAACTAGGAGGTAAAAATATAATGGTTCAGTATATAGCCAAAACTGCCAGCAAACATAAAAATAAAAGTATGTTTTCAAAGCATTATTTGAAACTTCCTTACTCATTCACAATGAACTGTCATGACTGTAGGGAGCATAGAATAATAGAAGCTGACTTGATCAGAGTATGTGCCAGGACTACTGTATTAATAAGAGTTTTGTGCTTCCAGCGTGAATCAGTTTCTCTCAAATGGATCTGTAGGATGAATTAATACCCCAGTGACCTCTAATTTGATTTAATAACTCTTTCATGCTGCACTGCAGGTACTGACTCAGTCTGGGACCAGCTCAGAACAAACTGTTCTTCGGATTTTTATTTCGCTAATAAGAAATGTCAGCAGCAATATCTTTTGATGAAAGAAGGATTGTATTAAGTTTCTTTGGATTATATTAGACATGTTGTCTTTAAAATTCCATTAGAACATATCTCCACCTGAAACCATATACTGTCTTTCCATTTAAAAAAAGTTGATGGCATATAATCATTTAGTAACTTTATGACACATCAAATTCTTACTCCATATTAAATGGTTGTTAATAACATGCAATCAGACCTTCACATCCTAACTTTCCAGTTGTATTGGGATTACAACTTCCAGAATTGTAATTGATACAAAGTCTAACTAACTGGAAAGTCTAACAATTATAGGAAGAATTTACAAGAGTAGTACCAAGTTGGAGAAAACAGCAATATATGGTGTGGTATTTATTGTTGTTTAAACCAGCTTATATTGAGCATTAAAAATAACATAAATTCAGAATTAAGCATAGCTTTCCATACAGGTAGTCCTCGACTTACAAACATAATTGAGCCAAAATGTATATTGCTAAGAGACAGATTTATTGAATTTTGCCCCATTTAAAACCTTTCTTATCACAATCGTTAAGTGAATCACTGCAGTAGTTGTTAAGTTAGTATTGTTAAGTGAATCTGGCTTCCCCACTGATTTTGCTCGTCGGAAGGTTGCAAAAGGTGATCACATGACTCCCAGGACATTGCAACTGCCACAAATATGAGTCAGTTGACAAGCATTCAAATTTTGATCTCATAACCACAGGGATGCTGCAATAATTGTAAGTGTGAAAAACAGTCATAAGTCACTTTTTCATTTCCATTGTAACTTTGAACAGTCACTAAATGAACTGTCAAGCAAGTTGAAGATTACCTGTAGTATCAATTTTTTAAAAGAACATATTTTGCTGTTGTTTTCAAAAGCATGTGTCATGAGATTGTCATTATTAATTTTTAGGTAATTTAAATTTCCAAATGCAGAAAAATAGAAGAGAAATATTTTCAATTGTTTCTTTAAAAATAACAGGCTGAAGATATTCAAGCAGTATATTCTGAAAATAAGTTGCATGAAGACTTTTTGTATAGCCTCTGTTTGCTGAAGTTTGATTCCTGTTGTTATACAATCCTGTCTGTGTATTTCTTCTTCCAGTGAAAAAAAGAAAATGTATGATGTCATCCAAGAAACCATCAAATACGATTTCCCACCTGTTGTGGCTAAAGTCTTAGGTTATTTGGCAAATCCAGGACTAATTATAACCGGAGTTTTGCTTATGATGTAAGTTGCATTGACTGAGATGTTGAATTGGGGGAATTGGAATCTTGTAGATAAGAATATATTACTAGATTGTCAATTAATATTTATCATGAGTTTAAAAAAATGTGTGTGCTGCATATGACAGCAAATCAAGCAAAATCCTTGTAAATAGATTATGCAACTTTTCTAAAATTCTTAATCTGCCAACTCCCAAATCTCTCTTCATGAATCCATTATACAAATTGTTGCTTCCAGTGTGATTAACAAATTTATTAGCGATTTATCTACATTTAGTAGTGACTGCATTTTTGAGATGAGAATGCATTGTTTTCATTCTCTTGAATTTGGTTGTGAACTGGAATTCATTATCTAGTAGTTCTAGTTAATTTTAGAATAGATGCATTATTTATAACAGATTTCAGTAATTATTGATATAAAACTAGATCTAGAATCTAATCTAAATGAACTTTCAAATGAACTTTCAAATAGTAAGTGATTTCTCATACTATGGGTTACAACCCTCCTGAGGAGAATCTATGAGCAGTGTTTATTTTTTAAGATGATTAGGTTAGTTCAAGCAAAGTGGGAATGCTTTTTAAATGATTTCACTTTGTCTGGACAACTTCACAGTGAATCTTAGAGTACCCCTGCTTTTGTCTGTACAAGCCAATCAGGGAGACTTGAAAGCTTTTCTTATTTTGCACGGGCTTCAGTCTAGGATCTGTAAATATGGCCACAGGTCTAGCTTCTGCCAAACTGGTGATTTTTAGGATAGTATATAGCTATATGCATTCATTACTGAGTCTGTAGAAGCTTGTGGGTTAGTGAAGATCAGTGTCTTTATCTACTATTTTAAACTATTAACTATTCATAATGGAAAATGTTTTCTTAAGTAGTAGGTAGAAGACTAAATGATTGGTCTATTGATAGTTAAAAGTAAATCTAAGTCAAGGAATTGTTATAGCAGTTTTTATATTATATCATAACCTCTTAGAAAGCAGCTTCTTTCTGGTCCAACTCTGACTGCAATGAAATATTGATTTTATCCATGAGAGAAGCAGCACAGATTTAGTCATCATATAAGATTCTGGATATCACAAAGTTTGAGAATCCTTTTGTGTTTTAGTATATTTTTAAAGTTCTATAAAGTATCCCAGATTTTTTTTTTAATTTGACATTTGATTTTTACAGTCTTGCCATATATTACCTGAATTCTGTGGCTGAAGGATACAAACATGCCAATGCAGAGCTGAAAAAGAAAATGCAAATGGTATTTAGTTTTGTTTATATTACATGTTAGTTTAAATGCAAAAATTTGCATTATTTGCATTTGCATTATTTGCGTATAGACTTCTATTTGTGATAGCTTTATACTTTTTTTCAACAATACAGTTGAAAAAGTCATGTGCTCAGACAACGATGCCCTCTCTCACCATTGCTGTTTATATATACCTTGGGGATTTTAGGAAGAGTAGTAAGGCAAGAGGAGCAGATCAAAGGGCTTGAGTCAAGAAAGAAACATACAAACTCCAAGCATATGCTGACGATTTAGTATTTATATTGGAAGATCCAGTGCAATCAGGTCAGAAGCTATTTGAAATACTGGAGGAGTATGGAGATTTGGCAGGCTTGAAAATAAATAGAAATAAAACAAAGATCATAGCAAAAAATATGACTAATACGCAAAAAGAAAATCTTGGGGAAAAATTAGGTATACAAATAGTTCCTAAAATAAAATATCTGGGAATTGTTATCTCTGCACAATGTTCATCAATCAAAGAAGACAATTATGAAAAATTAGTAAAGCACATCAAAGTTGACTTAGATTGCTGGAGAAACTTTCATCTCTCGCTTCTTGGAAGAATCTCAGCAATGAAAATGAATATTTTACCCAAAATGATATTCTTGTTTCAAAATATTCCAATCCAATTAGATAAAAAATTTTTTTAAAGAGTTGAATAAATTAACTTTAGATTTCGTGTGGCAAGGGAAGAAGGCGAGGATAAAACAAAAGTCTCTACAGGATGCCAAAAAGAGAGGGGGATTAGGCTTTCCGGATCAGAAGCTGTACTATCGTGCAGTGGCTCTGACATGGATTAGGGATTGGATTACTTTGGAAAACAAAAGATGTTTATATTTAGAGGGGCATGACCTCCAGCAGGGCTGGCATGCTCACTTATGGACAGGGAAAAGTAGGAACTATCAATATTTCTTGAGGCACAAAGTTTGGCAACAAGTTATAAAAAGCTGGAATATAGTTAAACGCCAAAACTATATAGGAATTCCAGGTTGGCTCTCACCATTAGAGGTCGTTACATGCTCCAACTTATACAGGCAAGATAAGGTTATTGCATATAAAGATATCCTGTCAGAGGAAGGCTATCTAAAGCAAAGACAAGAGTTGAGACAAGAGAATAGTTTTGGAATGATGGTCCTATCTTCAAGATGCAAGCGAGGTTTGTGAAAGATAAGAAAGAATGGGAAATTAATAGACGAGATACGGGGCTTGACAAAATATTACTAGGTTCGGAGAGAAAACAAATTAAAAATATATATAAATATATGTTAGAATATAAATTATATGAGGAACAAGTCAAAGAAACGATGGTTTGGGCATCTATCTGGGCAATATTTATTTATTTATTTATTTATGAGACTTATATACCGCTTTAAGTGCGAGCACTCTCTAAGCGGTGTACACCAGTAAGCAATGTATATATATATTTACATTGCCCCCAACAATCTGGGTCCTCATTTTACCTACCCCGGAAGGATGGAAGGCTGAGTCAACTTGAGCCGGTGAGATTTGAACCGCTGACCTGCTGAACACAGTCAGCTAAAGTGGCCTGCAGTACTGCACTCTAACTGCTGCGCCACCTCGGCTCAGGGACATGCGATAAATCTGGACCAATGGCAGCAAACTTCGGAACATAACAATAAAATTACATTGGTGACATCCTACAAAGAAAATCTTTATAAGATGCTTTATAGACGGCATCTGCCACCAGCCAGACTTGCAAAAATGTATAGTGGTTACTCACCAATGTGTTGGAAGTGTAAAAAGGAAGAGGGTACATTTTTTCACGTTTGGTGGATTTGTAAAGAAGTACAGGTTTACTGGCTCAGGATATGGAAATGGATAATAGAAATGACGGGTCAAAAAATTCAATATAAACCAGAGATGTTTCTATTAGGAATATTAGAAAAAAACATAAACAAAGATGATATATATTTAATTATACATCTGATAACGGTGGCAAGAATCTTGTTTGCTCAAAACTGGAAAGCAACTGAAGTGCCTAGCAGAAACGCATAATAAGAAAAAATTTATATTGTGCAGAATTGGATAAGATGACTAAAGAATTAAAAAATCAGGAGGAAACAGAATATTACTTAATTTGGAATAAATTTTACAAGTGGAGGGAAATAAGAAGGAAGTTGATAGAAGGGATATAAATAGAAGAAATGTACTTTCTAGATTAATTAGATTACTAGAAATGTGTAGTTGTATATATAACATTTATGTAAAGTATGGAATTAGACAAAGATATATGTCAAAGATGATACACCACGTTCAATGTTTTTTAATTCTCTTTTCTTTTGTATCTAATAAAATGTTTAATAAAAAATTAAAAAAGAAAAAGTCATGTGCTCATTCATATGCTAACTGCAGTATCTTATTAATTCTTTGTTAAAATCGCAGCAGCTTCTCCAAAAAATATTTTTAAAAAGATGTAATACATTAACCCATGAATATTTAATATCTATAAAACACTGAGTTTTATTTTTAACAGACCTCTTAGTTTATACATTGAACCTGGATTATTTTTTATCACTCTGAACACATAAATCTACTTAAGACCAAGATATTTAGAATAAACTTTGTACTTGAGTTTGGTATGTAACCTACAATTTAAACATTGACCAAATAAAAGTTATGGGGTTCTTTAAAGTAATATGACTATTAAACAAAATGGATGAATGGAAAAATCTCTGTTTTATTGTGCTCACTATTGCCTTTCTTATTTTAATATTTCTTTAGACAAAATGAGAAAGAAAAGTACAAGTTAAAACTCAACTAAATAAATATGTTCAAATTACAATAGATTTAGAATACATTTCATATAATTATGTATTTTAGAACATGGCTGGAATTAAATATTAAAGGTACTAATTTAAATAGCAAATGGGCAGAGAAAATTCTTCTCAGATACTCCTGTCTACTTCCTCATATCACATTGGACTAGATTTTCCTGTTTGGCCTGAGTATACTATATATTATATCTTCAGACTGATATGAGATAGAATGAAAGATCAAAGATAAATTCACTTACTGCTCCAGTTCAGCCAGACATGAAAGCTAGCTGGGTGAGTTTGGTCCAGTCACTCTCTCTCTCTCCCAGCCAAGATGCCTCACAGGGTTGTCGTTATGAGGAAAATAGAAGGAGGAAGGAATATTAGATTTTGAGTTATTTATAAAAATAATAAATGTGGGATTAAAAGAAATTATCAATTGCCAGTTTTGTTCTGATTTTAAATTACATTATCCACATAAAACTCTCACTTCAAGTTTCAGTTCTGACTAAATTAGATGTTACAATTCTTCTTTCCAAATGAATCAGGTATTTCATGACATCTGTTTTTATTTTACAGCAACGGGAAGATGATAAAAATAAGAATAAGATTTCTGCCAATTCTGCAATACAAGAACTAGAAGACTTGCTTGTTCCATATGCAAAAAACATGGAAGGACCCAATGCAGCTAAAGGTAAAGATAGTGTCCAATCAGTGTTCATACATATATTGCTTTGGATGAGTTGACATAATAGGACAACTTTAGTTCCTCTACCATTTGCAGAGTGTTGTCCTCCCAAAATAAAAGACCAAATGTGCCAATATTTAATCTCAAGTTCATCTTACACACCTAGAGAGAGACAATATTTATATTGCATTATAGCTTTTCAATCAATTACTAAAAGCCAGCTTAGTTTAATCATTAATCAACATTTAATGTTATACCATAGTTCAGTTTGTCTTGTAAGGTTCAGTGAAATACTCTAAATCAGAGTAGACTGCAAGGTTAAGCTTTAATCAAAATAACAAATTCTGCTTTGTGCTCTAAAGGTGCAAGCACCACCTCTTCCCTACAGTATTCATATCAGTGCACATAAAAAAGAGGTGTCACTTGTATAGTATAAGCATGATTGTGTGCATTGTTACTCCTTTGACTCAAAGGCATCTCTGTTTAAGATTTAATAGTATATAAACCATACAAATCAGGTGAATTTGAATTCTAGATACTCAATCTTATCAGTTTAGCTAACCGAGTTCTCTAAAAATGCTAGCAACTAAGTAATTTGCCGTGCTAATAATAGTTAATTTGGTCTTGCCTTTTAGCTACCACATTTTATTTGCAAACATTCAGAAATCATCAAACACTATATATAGAAAATGATAATTCTTCACTGCCATCTAGTGGTCACTTTCTACATTAGCTCTATTAGCTGTAATACTGACAATTTTAATGCAATGTTTTTTCTTTTAAACCAGATAAGCCTGTGTCACCAAGCTATAAAAACCATTCTGCAGAGAAAGAGACAAATTTAAGTCCTGCAAAAGGAGTCCTGTTGTCATCCTCACCTTCTGTGATAATGACCCAACCACTTAGTCCAAGAAGAGGTGTGCCTTTCTCTAATCAACTAAAACCAGGATCTTATCCAAGGCGACCTTATCCAGGAATTGGAGGAAGGGAACCTAGTAACAATGGCATAGAAATAGCAATGGTATCTACTAGATCATGAGCATAATGGTACTTAATGAACTTGGTTGTTTTACAAAATTGTCCCAGTGTTAGAAATTTAAGAGCTTCAACTATCTTGGAAGGGTGATGAAAAGTTCCTATTCAGGGATGAAATGTTTTTGCCAAACTCCAAAGCTCACTGGTTTCTTCTTATATACTTTCATTTATTTCTATCTGGCACACAAATAGTTTACCTAGGCTTTAAGACAATATCTAGTTAGAGATGGCAGCTGGAGAGGGATATATCCAGACTTAGCAGTGCCTGCAAGACTCCGTGTATCTAAAATCTAGAATCATAACTATAAAACTGTTTTAAAAGTAAATAAGAAACAAAAGTGTAAAGATTAATTACACTTAATTATGGTATCAGCCAAACTACTGAAATCCATACCAGCAGCTTAATGCAGATAAAACTACCAATCTTTCAGTTAATGATTCTAAAATTAACAGAGTAGTTTGATTTATGTACTTCAAAATGTTACCATTATAATAGGAATAGCTGGCCTTTGAAAACTCTTTGACTTCCCTGTTGGCGTCTTTTAGGTGGCATCTTCTCCTGACACCACTTCCCCAGGCTGTTAGGCACCACCCTGGCTCCCACATAGAGCTCCCTCAGTTGCGATCCCATCCTAGCATGGCAATCAGGAGGTACATGGCTTGTCTTTTCTCCCTTCCTAATGAGATCTGGCAGGTGGATCCAAGGCCTGCCAGTTGACTCCATCTCTGGTAATCAAGTTTCTAGCAATGTTTGAAAGCTCTCTTTTATGTCTGTTCTACAGAAAAGCTTTCCATATATTTACAGCTTACATATATTTACAGTTCTTGTTAATGTGGAAAATACATTATACACATTAGAATTTTAAATAAAATTTTGTAAAATCAGATGTATTAATTTCAATTTGTAATCATAATTGGAAACAATTCAGCTTTTTTCATATGTGCAATAGTAGCACTTCTTTCAATTCACTCTTACAATTTTCCTTGCTTTTGTATATGATTATTTTTTTCTATAATACATCTCTATATTACACAGTATCTATGACTCTAGTTTACAGTACATCTGTTCAGAGCTGGAAAACAGGAAATTGGCAAACAATTGATAGCAAAATCGTAATAGTTTACAGCAGACTTGGGCATCTTACAGTCCCTGTTCCTGTCATGAAGTCAATTGGAAATTAAAAATCAAATGTAAGTAAGTGTGCTGCAGGGAACAGAAAAAGCAGCAGTGCCTGGCTTTATGCCAGACATGTCAAACACAAGGCCCGAAGGCTGGATGAGGCCTGCAAAGTGGTTTCATGTGGCCCGCGAAACCATCCTGGAAACAGTGAGGGAACAGCCCCTGCTGCCTTGGCCTTGGCCCAGGCCGGCCAGGAGCCAATGTACAATTTTCTGATGGCCATCTATGCTGAAACACATAGGCCGTCTGGAAACAGCGAGGAACCAGCCCCTGCCGCGTCGGCCCCATCCCCTGGGTGCATGCTGGGATGTATCACCCTTTTGTGAGGAATGAAGAAATGCACCATCGTCTGGAAATGGCCAGGAAATGGCCCTCGCCTACTTCACATATCCATCTTGATGGGCTCTGGGAGAGGGGTTTCGGCAGGCAGCGGGGCTCCCTCCTCACAGCGCCGAGAGGCTGAGTCAGGTGGCACAAATCTGATGAGAAGGGCAATGCTGCCTAACCCCCAGGCAGCAAAGTGCAAAGCTGGTGAGCTTTGCACCACTTGGGTCAGCCTCTTGGCGCTGTGAGAAAAGCACTCCACTGCCTGCCGAAACCAGCCAGCTGGGGGCTGGGCGGCATCGCGATTCTTTTCAGATTCGTGTTGCCTGGCTCAGCCTCTCAACACTGCGAGAAGAGTGCCTCGCTGCCTGCCGAAACTGGCTGGACGGCATTGCGCAGGTAACGTTGACTCTCACGCTGCTCATGGCATCCCCTCCCCAGAGCCCACCAAGCCAGATATGTGAAGTGAGAGCCATGTGCTGGCCACTTCCAGGCAATGCTGCATTTCTTCATTCCTCACGAAGGGTGATACCTCCCCAGCTGCCTATTTTTCTCCCTCCCTCATCTCAAATATTTTCCCACCACTCTGTACTTAGGAAGGAAAGAAGGAGGGTCTGAGGGAAGTCCTGCCTTAGTCCTGCCCTGCTGCCCTTTCACCATCCCCTTGCCCCGTCCTCCTGGCCTATCCTGGGGGTCTCCCGTCCTATTGCTAAGGAAGCTTTGGATACAAAGCCGGGTCTCCTCCCACAGAGAGAATGGGTTTCCCTCTAACTTCGCCCTTGTACCCATCATGAGCAACCTCGGTAAGGAGAGCAAGCACAGCAGCAGCAGCCTTGAGGAGGTGGCAAGTGCAGCTGGGCACCCCCTTGGGGAAGTGGGAGTGGGCTTGGTGCCACAGGTGCTCGAGGGCCAGGCTAAGCATTTGACTCTGCTGCCCAGGGCTCCCGGCAGCCCACACCAAGCCCCCCCCCCCCGCATGGCCTGAGGAACAGGCCTGAGATTAGTGGACCATGCCTTGACACTTGCCCTGGTTCCACCCCCTTCTGCCAAAGACCCTCAGATCTGTCCCACTGCTGCCCAGGCTCCCATAGGCCCCCTTTGAAGCAAATGATGTAGAGCTGGCCACACCCACTCATGTCCACCCAGTAGGCCACACCCACCCTGGCCACACCTAACCCAAGGACAACCGCAATGCTGATGCAGTCCTCAATGAAATTGAGTTTGACCCCCCTGCTCTACGCAGTCACCATGCTTTCAGTCTACTGGCAGCCACTGGAGATCGAGAAAAGATGCTTTTCTGTGCCTGTGCAAAGTTCACCCGTCTGGAACAGCCTGAGTTGAAACATCCCAGTTTCTCATAGGGCCCCTTGGGAAAATTGCCCATTCCTAGTTTAGAGTATAGCTGTCCAACGTTTTAGCTTGCCTGGGCTGCAGAATGAAAAGGAATTGTCTGGGCCGCAGATAATATATATAATAAAGTATATAAATAAAAAACTTCCTTTTTTATATATTATCTTGCTACTTTACTAGCTGTCCAGAACTGCATGTAGGCCGCAGGTTGGTCATGTCTGATTTATACATTATGAAGGTTCTGAAGCATTACAACTATTTCCAAAACTATGGAATACATTTAAACTTATATTATCAATCTCACAGCAGCTAACGTTATTAGTTTGAAAAATAAAATTTCAGAGAACTCTGATTATATAAAACATGTTTTCTTCCATAGTTTTAGTTAAAAAAAGAACGCTTTTGTCCATCTCTTGAATGCAGGTTAAGATCCCATAGAATAAACTGGAATAACTAGAATAAACACGGCAAGGGCTTGTATTATGTAATTTTTAGAAGGAAGGCATGCAAGTGGTTTTAAGTAAAAAAAAAAGTACAGAAAACTTTGCTGCAGTGTTTTGTTCTAACATAGCAATAAAACTGTTGGAACACATTTTATTTTCAGAACATTCATAATGACCTGTTTTCTATAACTGTATTCCTAGAATTAGGACATCTGAAACAGCTTAAGATTTGCTCGGAGACCACAAAAGCATGTTTTGTTCTGATATTGAATTCTACACATGAAACATTCTGTACACCTCAGAAAACCCTTGTTAGCCAAAGTTATCACAAGTTTACAGAAATCCTAGATTAACTAGAACATATAATCTAATAACCCTGTTCTAAAGTCAATTATTAAATGCTTTACTCTATCTGAAACATAACAAAGGTGGTAAGGCAAAATATTTTCCTTGTTCCCAAACTATTTTAGAACATGGCATTTTTTTAAAATATATATATATATAATGTACTGTTTCCCAGCTAGCTGGCTCTCCCAGCTAGTTATTCTTTGAATATGTCAGACAATGCTAATATAACTCTTCAAAGACCTTTGGCATTATTCTACATAAGACTTTTAGGTCAAACCATCTTTATCAGCTTGACTTGTATAGTATTCTTGTGAAGTGTGAATTTCAAACACGTAATATAGCAGAATTTGAGATGCTCAGCCATTAAACCTTTACAGATCCCAAATTAAAGCTTGTCCATTCATAAATCCCGCCCAACCTGTCTTCTGTATCAAAGGAGAAAAAAGCACTCCCTTTTTCTCATAGAAAAGATATCAAAAAGTAATGGAATAGAATTTAGGGAATAAAAATGATGTTCCTTTCTTTTAAGCCGTGCAACTTGATACGTTATTTGCTTTTGGGATGGATGTAACTTGGCAAATCTCTTAGTAGCTGCGGTGATGCCATTTCTGGAGAGTTACAGCACTAGCTTTCAGCTTCCTGGCTCTGACTTTCCCAGGTGAACATCCCTATGGCAAGCTTCCCTGTAAATAATGGCTGATCCTGTATAATTTCTCAGATCAACCAATATGTAAGAAAAAACCAACTCAATCTCAGTTAACAAGGAAGATATTTTATTCTTCAACTGTAATTCTTGAATTGTTATTGCTTAATCAGGACCATTCTGTGGCAGTACCAACCCACTCAGTAGCCTGAGCAGTGGGAGCTGCTGACCAGTCTTCAGTGGCAGTCTGTGAACTCCAATCCTCTGAAAAAGATATAAAATCACACTGGGTTTTGAAAAATATAAGCAACTTCCTGCATCTTAATTACCATATTTTGAGATCATTCTGTGAATAGCAACTGTATTCCAAAATTTGGAAATTTGTGTTACAAATATTTACACAAAGATGAACAGAATCAAAGCCATTTCAATTAAGTACAAAACCTCAATGCAGGAACAGAGAATTCTGGCGAATTCCAAGTGGCTCACTTTCATGTGAATCAAGTTGTTCTAGGGGGAGATTTTGATTTAGTCATAAACCCCATGAACTGGAAGGATCTTCATGTGTCTTGGATTAAACAGTCTTTCATGAAATAGGAATATCTCAGGAACACTCAAAATGGCTTCTGATTTGGTTCAAGTAAGTGCCAAACTGCTTCCAAACAGCACAGTACAGATGCTTGGTATGGTCTTTAGGGAAAGAGGATATTCCACAGGTCCTTGGAACAGTGTGTCCCTATATCAGTTAATGTAAAATATTTCTAGTAGAGAACTTCAATGGATAAGGCAATCTAATTCAGCTTCCTCTTTTTAATTCCTCTTCCATAAAATAAAACTGCCCCCTCATGTAGAGCCAAATTGCCCTGCTGCATATTTTAGATGTAGGTATTACCTCCAAAACCTATGCTACATCTGAGTAGCAATTTGAAATTAAAATTTGTAGCATAAGTGGAAACATTTTAAAAGCTATCAAGAGGCAACCAGAAAAGGAGAATAAAGAAAACTAATAGATTAATAGAGAATGCAAATGGATGTCTGAGTTCTGTATGTCCATGTCTTAGATACTGACTCTTACCCACTTCTTTCTCAAACTTTGCATTTCTTGAATCTACTACCTCCTCAAAAGGGAATTGGTTTATCAATTGTAAAAAAAAAATACTTTATCATTACGTAAATTACGATACATTATCCAGTCAGCATTCTTCTCAATTACTTTTTACTTACCAGTGGGGTAAGGCTGTATTGGGACCGAAGGCACTTGTACCCCTTCAGACCAGTCAGACACCTCAGGTTGTGGAGGTGCAGTGAATTCAGGGGCAGGTGCTGTCCATTCACCCTGGAACTCCTCCTTGGTAACTGCCTTATCAGCTGCAGCTTGCTCTTCTTTTTCAATCTGAACAGGAGGCAAATCAAGTTACAACTATAAATCAAAGTTTTCTGGGTAGCACCCAACACCTTTCTGAGTTTACAGTTTGAAAATGAGCGATTTAGTACAAACCGTGCACTGTGGATTTCTATGTTTAAACTAAGTATCTCTTTGACAAATTTACTTTAATACTTTTTCGGTGTTGTGTTACCAGACCACACACTGTAGAAAATATATGGTCATATTACCAATGCAAAAATGACTTATTTTAATAAAAAAATTATAAATCTAGTCAAATATATATGTTACATTTTTACCTCTTCAGGATCTCGGTAGAAGTAGAGATCAGGCATAACTTCCCATGGATGTTCACGGGAAATAGTGCCACGCATTCGCAGGACTTCACGAGCCAACATCCACCACATCAGACCAACTGAGTGAGCTCCCTAAACATTTGTTAGATAATCGTCAATTAGATTGTCAACATGCTCACATAAGTTCATGAATAACTATTTAACTGAATTTGAATAAAAGGATCATGATATCAACAATTCAGGAAGATAAGAAAACAAAATATAGTTTAACCAACTCAGCTTGATTTTCTTCAGCTAGCAATTGACTGCTGTTTCTTTTAAATATGTAGCAAGAATTACTATCAAACCCCATTCATTGAACCCAAGAGGTTCTTATGGTGTTAGCGAAAAGACTTGCAGAAGCTGATGTAGCACACTTCCTACACTCAGAAGTTCTTTGGATAGAAGCCATCCTCAGCCCTGAGTTCTAACAAGCGTGCATATATTTCCTTCCCTCCTAAAATTTGAAAACAAATTTTATATCATACCTACTCAATTTTTTTTTTTTTGCACAACCATAGCTAGAAGTGCTTTTTGAAAAAAACATAGATGTATTGGAGGACATACCTTGTTGTTGCAGGGAATAGCAATATCCACATAACGCAGGGGAGAATCTGTATTGCACAAGGCAATGGTGGGAATGTTTACATATGATGCTTCAGTCAGCGGCTGGTGATCAGCTCTTGGATCAGTGACCACCAAAAGGCGAGGTTCACGAAAAGCAGCCTGGATCTGATTGGTAAATGTGCCAGGAGTAAACCGGCCAGCACTTGGAGTTGCACCAGTAGCTGCAGCAAATTTCAAAACAGCACGCTAGAATGGGGAGGTAAAAGAAATGACAAAATGGATGCTTCTAGTGAAAATTCCCCAAAATCAATAAAGCAATTATTAATTTTGCAAGTACAAGCAGCACTGAATTGAGTCATGTCATTTTGGAGCACCAACATAAATATATTTGACTTTTGTGAAAAGTTTGACATAAAGAAAATTTAATTCATATTACTTGTTCTTAGATGGTTCCTGATGGGACATACATACTATCAGGATATAATTTTCATCTTCTGGCTAAGTGTATCCATACCTGTCCAGTATTCCTGGAAGAAATAACACTGACATCAGCTGGATTCTCAATAGCAACAATGGCACGGGCTGCTAAGAGCAGTTTTTCCCAGGTTCTCTTCAGATTGATGATGTAAATACCTCAATAAAAAGATGTAGGGTTTTCAATTAAATATGGGAATACTCAACAAAATGCATAAAATCCAGCCCTCTTGTCTACTATTGTCTTCGAAAATCTGGAATGTGGCAGCAACTACTATCAAACCCCAGTCACAAAGAAACACTCTACTGGTGTTAGCGAAAATCCTGCCACAATTTACTCTAGCACACTTCCGACACTTAAGAGTTAATTGGCCAGAAACTGGCCTCAGCTCCAAGTTTTAATAGTGTGCAGTTAAAACACATACCAACCTGCTTACTCTAAAATTTCAATAGCAATAGGGTTTCATGAAAATATCAGCATCATATAAGGGAAAATTTACTTTTGTACCATTTAATTTTAAAAAAGGCCCGTGAATTGGGACGAAAAAAGGGATTTCAGTTCGTGACCTGTTCTATGAAGATTTTGGAATGGATAGAAACTAGGCCAAATTAATCATGACAAGGACCACCTGAAAGGAAGCATTAAAATGTTTTACTTTTGGCACAAGGAATAAAACTCACGATGGGGAAATATATTGTATGAACCAACTTGAAATTTATAAATTCTGATAGGAAATACTATTATTGTGCATAACGATGATTCTGACATCACTAACATAAGGTGAAGTCCATAATCAACAATTTTAAAAAATCCCAATTTTTACCATCACTTTTTCTTTTATATATATACTGTTCCATCTGAAAATCTAGATTGGTGCCTCCCAAATGGGTTCCTGCAGCAAGGAATTTGAGGACATCTTCCTCCTTCATCTGTAGAACATCAAGGCCTCCGGACATTGTGAAAGTTTCCCTTTAAAGCAACGACAGGAAACCTAGAACAAAAATCAGCAAAGTTAACTATTATTTTAAAGTTACGTTTTAATCAGTACTGCCCAATGGAAGTAATAACTGCTACTATAGAGAAAATTGTTAACTATAAATCAGTTTATAAAGTCAGAATCAATAAACTTCAATTACTGTTCTATTGTTTCCAACTCAGTTTAAGAAAAACATCCCAGCATTCAGCAATTAACTTGTAATCTAAAAAAACAATACTGTAGTAATCAAAATGACTGGGTTTTTAAAAAAAAACTACTCAAGAGACTGAATAGTTTTAATGAGAAAGCTACACAAGGAAGTATACTTACTAGGCTATTGAATGTTTTAAAATTGGGAAGAAATGCTTTGTTTGGCCATAACACAAGTATGAGCACAGCAGCTGTTACTCATTTAGGCATATGCATCTTCAGCATCTTACAAGGGGCCAGAAAAGTTATTCTTGTACTGTTTTAATGAATTCTTTTTAGTTCTTAGAAGTCAAACTGATCCTGCTAAGATGAAAATATGAATATCAGTACTTAAGACTTGACATCTTTTAAGAAAAAGGAAATAACTTTTCTGAAAATGATTCAAAGGATGTGGCCACTCACTGGAAAACCTCAATCCATGCATCGTTCTCCCTCATTCTTATTATTTGGGATAACTTTTAAAAGCTGAAAAAGAGCAAGATGGAGGTATTTTCACGGTCAATATTGCGCTGTAAGGTTAAAGGCTACAGAGGGGACCAACGAAGCAAAACCAGCATGTTTTACATTTGGAGGCACATCAAAAACCTAACCATATAATAATATGGCCTCGCATTCTAGTCATTTCCAGTGCCTTCGTTTCAATTTTGAACTAGATAAATACAGGACAACTCTTGGTTTGTAAAGTTTCAAAAGCATCGTTAAGCGCCAGGATGGCGTTTTGCAAAACGGGACAAGGCGGGAGGCCTGAAACATGCGGGGCATCCCAGCCATTTCGGCAACCCAAAGCAGAGACAGCTGCCTCCTCCCAACGCCGCCGCTTCCCACCGTCCAGCCACATTGCGTGGCCCAAGCGAGCAGTGCCGCTTCTTAACACGCGTTACACGACTCACGAGATAACAACGCCGTATGGAGGTTTCTCTGAGGTCGAAGAGAAAGAAGGCCGCGATGACTGATCGCGGGTATATATAGCCTGCTTGCCCACCAATCGCAAAGTCATTCCCCAGAAAGGAAGTGACGTAGTTGCTTTCGTTTCCTTGCGCGGGCCTAACTCACGATAATTTCCGTTCTTTTCTGAGCGCGGCCATCGGAGCGAGGGCGGGAGCAAATGAGGTTAATGTAATGAAGGAGGGGGGAGCTAATAGCCTATCACGGCGTTTCTCCAACTTGGCGACTCCAAGATGTTATGTGTGGCTGGCTGCGGGATTCTAGGAGTCCACACTTCTCATTTAAAAAAACGCTGGTTTACGAATTCTGACAGCAAAATGCCTGGCGGAATTTTAAAAAGAGTGACTGGACTGAATCTTACTAATACGGCTTTTCCCTTTGAACGTTTCACCGTTCGGTTGCACTGTTTGTCGGGTCCTTGCCTTCATTATCCTCACACTGACATAGACGCTGACATTAGGGTCTGCTTTTTTTTTGAATAGTTTATATCCTTACATCAGTACATTCCAGTCATGAGTTTCATATCCCACCATATTCAGTAATGGCAATTACATCATATCATGTACTAATATTTCAAGTTCGCCCTGTTTGTTCCCTAAATTTTGAGCATTAGTATATAGGCATTTGAGTCCTTTATTCGTCTTGGGTATGTTTCTTGTATCTCCTACTTTATAACTTCCATCCTTTCAATCACTCTCTATTTCATTTTTTTATTTCTGTTTTCTCTTTACTCCCTTCTTATGTGATTGGTTATCTAGTGCTTTTTGCTTGGAATTGGGTTCTATAGGTCGTGAAGTTTGGCCCCCCTCATTTTTAGTTTAAAGCCCTCTTGATAAGATGAGCCAGTCATTTTCCGAGTTCTTGTGAGGTGCAGTCCATCCCTTGCCAGTAGCCCTTCATCTAGGTCAGGGGTAGGCAACCCAAAACACTCAAAGAGCCACTTGGACCAGTTTCCCACCAAAAACTAAACACTGGGAACCGCAAAAACCTTTTGATACCTAAAATGAAGATAACACTGCATATATTCTTTTTTACATACATACATATCATAAAGGTAAGAAATGATATATGCAGTGTTTTCATTTTAGATGTCAAAAAGGTCTCTCTCTGTCTCTCCCTCCCTCCCTCTCCCTCTCTCTTTCTGCCCTTTGTCTGCCAGTCTTCTTCCCCCCTCTCTCTCCCTCTCTCCGATCTTCTGCTCATCTGGCAAACTGGCTTCAAGCTGTTCTCCAACAAGCTAAGGGTAGGCAAACTCGGCTCTTTTATGACTCATGGACTTCAACTCCCAGAATTCCTGAGTCAGCATTGCTGGGCTAGCTAGTTCTCTTCTGCCCTTCCTGCTTCCTGTTTCCTGCAGAGACGGAGCCAAGGCAGGAGCCCCACCCAGTAAGCTTGTTGGCTTGTCGAACAAGGTGAGGCCACTCTTTTTTATACACACACACAAACACACACACACACACACAGAGAGAGAGAGGGAGAGAGAAGAGAAGTGCAAGTGCCTCTCTCTGTCTCTGTTTCTCTCTGAAAATGGCAGAGGAGGCTGGGAGCCACAAGGGGAGGTTCAAAGAGCTACATGTGGCTCCAGAGCCGCAGGTTGCCGACCTGTGATCTAGGTAGTGCAGACCATCGTCTAGGAAGCTGAAGTTTTGTTGACAACACCAGTAGTTTCTAAAATCCTTTGCTCCCTCATTGGATGTTGGCCTTTGGTTGGATGTATAGATGAGAACACCATGTGTGATCCTAATTCTTTAACTTTCTTCCCTAGCTGTTCATAATCTCATTGTTTTCAGATTCATTGTTGTGTCATTGGTCCCCACATGTAGAAGAAAGAGGTAGTAATCCATTCTTTTATTAATTACAGCTTTTTGCTCCAGGGAAACTATATACTTCCTTAGGTTGACTGCCTGGTCTGAAGACTATAGATCAGTGGTTCTCAACCTGTGGGTCGGGACCCCATTTGAGGTCGAACAACCATTTCACAGGGGTCGCCAAACAACGCAGCCCGCCATTTTTTCCCCCTTTTCCTTAGCTGTGCTACTCCCTTTTATTCTATTGGCTTTTGAAAGCCAATAGAATAGACTCTCTTGAATAGAGTCTAATTCTATTGGCTTTCAAAAGCCAATAGGAATTGTCCAGGCTGTCTCTGCCCTGCTGAGCCGGCCAAAAGTCCCATTCTGCAAACGGTGCTGTACCAGTTGAGTAGTCCTCGACTTACGATCGGTTGGGGGTCGCGGCATTAAAAAGGTTGAGAACCACTGCTATAGATTCTGTTCCTCTAAGAATTGAATCTCCTATCACCAATATTCACTCTTTTTTTCCCTAAGGAAGTCTGGAATAATTCTCTTCCCATCGCAGGAATGCTGGGTTTTGCCTCTTTTTTAGAAACTACTGATGAATGCTCCTTTGTGAGTGCTTGTATATTTTCTTCCAGGGGGAAGCTGTGAAAGCAATTGTTCAGTTCCATAGGGGCTTCATTGGAGTGGGCAAGGGTAGATAGTATGGGCCTTTGCTCTTCGTTGTTTTCTTCTAAGAATCTCATGTTTCCATCAGTCTTGCTTTTTAAGTACGAATGCAGGCTCATTTTTTTACGGAGCTGTTTGTTCCCTATTGTGTTCAATTTCGGTATATCAGTTTTCTTCTTTATGTTTATATATGGGGTCATCATTTTTTAGAAGCTGTTTGCTCCCTATTGTGTAGTCTCTTTGTTTAGGTTGGGATTTCTTGCTTTGCTCATTGAGTTTCAGAGTGGCTATAGTTGTCTCTAAAGTTCTAAACCCTTTATTTTTTCTTCTAGTAATCAAATAGATTACATTTGATACATAAATAGTTTGGGTGGGCATAAGCTGAAACATAGCAAGTCGCTATAGTGTCAGTCTCTATCTCCATGACTTTTTTCTTTGTTTGCTAAAAAATTTAAAATTTCTAAAAATTTAAATATTCTCTGTGTTGCGAAGTGTCAGTTTACAAGAGTTTACAAAAGTTTTGGGCCGTTCGTTCTCTCTCTTGAAAAATTCATTAGTAATTTCCCTGTTTTAAGTGTCTGTCTCTTTTTTTGTGTGTTTTTTTATTTCTTTCCTCTTAGATCAATAAGAATTTAAAAATTTCTAAAGAATTAAAATAAAAAAAAATCAAATGTTTAGTTGAAATAAGAAATTGAAAAATTGAAGATTCTGTGCAGCTTAAAATTAAAAACTAAGAAAAATTCAAAAGTAGGAAATATGTGCAACTGGAAGACAAATGAACAAAAAGCCACAAATTAAAGGCCCAGCGTACATTTGCTTAATTCTTGGGAGAAATTATTTAGTTATTTATTAGATTTTTCTCTCATGTTTATTACTTTTTAAACAACTCATAGCCAGATATTGAGCAGCTTGATTCTTATGCATAATCAGTGCTTTTTTTCTAAAAAAAAAAAATGTGCCAGAACTCACACATGTCATACAACCTGCCTTGCCTACCCTACAAGGTTCCAGCCAAAAAAGGTGCCGGAACTCCGTTCTGGGCATTCTATAAGAAAAAAAGCCCTGTGCATAATATTACTACTGTATTGGCTTTAAACTTTCTGATGCTAGTAATATACACAATAATATGAAACCATGCTGCCAGTTCTTTAGCTCTTCGTAAAGATTGAGTTCCTCCAAAGAACCTAGATGTTGTAAAATATTGGCATAGTGTATGTCCTGATACAAGTAGTGTGGCTTTTGTATTTAACAGATAAATATGCTGTCAATGCAGATTCTATAAATGCTATCCAAAGTGTTTTGATATGTTACCCAGTGCACCGATGACCACTGGGGACCACTATGTTTATGCCATAATCTTTCAACTTCGATTTTCAGATCTTGATATTTTGTGATCTATTCTTTGTATTCTACTATCCATTAGTATTGCCACTTCAATTATCCACCATGTCTTCTTTTCAAGCACAGTTTAATCTGGTATGTTATGAGCCAAGAGTTTATCAGATTGTATCTGAAAAACAATATTTTAGCCTGCTCATTTTCTTTTTCAACTCTGTGCCCACTAATTTTGAATCATTTTGGCCACTATGTTATTTTGTTTATGATCAGTTTGTGTGAACTTCTGGCATAAATAAGTATGTATTTTATTGTTCCTTTTTCCACAATCTGCACTTTGAATCATTTGATTTTTCAATTCTGACCTTGTTTGCATTGGCTCAATTGGCTTGCTCTTGAGATGGCAAAATCAACCCTTAATTTCTTTCCTTAATGTTTCGGTGACCATTGCCAAGTTTTCTTTACCCACTTTCCCCTCCATCTTTTTAGAAATTGAACATGTAATGCTTTTCCTTGCCAGCCTTGTCTTCGTGTTTTTATTACATTATTTTAATATTCATGTTTTGTTTCCTGTATATTCAGTCCCATTTTTAACTTGCATTAGTTCTAGTTCTCGATTGTCTTTTACATAATCAGCCACTGCAGGCTTTTCTTCTTTGACAGTTTGTTCAACTTGAACGAACCTCTGCTTCTATTTCTGCAGGAGGGAGGGGGGAGAGGAGTACCATATACTATGGCATAGAGTCTTCCATATATAGGCAGATTATTATACAAATTACAATTCAGAATGCCCAATGGGAAGAATTCAAAGATTGTGCCAATAAAAATGACAATACTAGTAACTGACAACATCTACATACAACATAAGAAACTTGACAGATCACTAGTATCGCAATGATCCTGGCAAGAGGAGATAGTATTAAACGAAACACAATTTGAATTTTTCCTGCTCAATAGACATACAATGCTTCCTCATTTCTGAATTCAATGGAAATATATAGTAATAAAGAATGCAATAAATTATTTTAATTTTTAAATTTTCAATTTGCATTTAAAGTACTTTATGAATTATCCTAAAGAAATAGTTTAGGAAAGCATAACTGGCTGGCTGGAACATGAGAAGGACTGCAGTAGTTTTTCACATTTTACATATTCATATCTCTAGCACTGAACTGAAAGGAGTCTAGGATGACTCAAAACTGCTAGCACGACACAACCAGTCTTCTCACCATCAAGTGCAAACTCACAGCCACCATTTCTTTGCAGGACATCTCAATACCAGAACTTCGCTGCGGAGATAATTCACTGTGGGTGCTGGATGGAGCTGGGCGGGCGAACAAGCAGGCTGTCAGAGGGGGCCAGGGATGGGCAGAGAGTGAGGTTGGAGGCAATGTTCAGACACAACGGTTGAGGAGAGAGATGGCAAAATGGGACGCTCCCGCCACTTGCAGCTTTTTTTTTAAAGCCACATTGCTTAATTTTTGAGGGTGATTTGCTCTGAAAATAAGGACAACTTTGGGAAGCATGGGGTGGGATGTCAGCTTTTGTTTAAAGTAAAAAGATTTATTTTGAGATGCATTCAAATTATTTCACGTCAAGCAGATTTCAAAGTTTGCAGCTCCATTTAGCTGCAGTCTGATGCACCACAGAAATGGGGCTGTGTGAACACTAATGTTTAGAGTCCAAGCTAAAAAAAAACCCTCAGCATTACTCTTTTCATAGCATTGATGTCGGCTTTGGAGGGAATATTGCTGTGACTCTTGATCCAAACGCACTCTGCACATGACCAGAAACCCGTGGAAAGCATTGTGCATGTGACCAGAAACAAAAAGAAATCATCCAGCGAGCCCTGTGGGGGAAGGGTACATTGCTGTGACACTCCGTACAAACATGTGTTTTTGGTCATGTGCAGAGTGCTTTCATGCTGTTTGTGGCCATGAGCAGGATACTATTTTTTCCTCAGTATTATTATTGATCTGCCTCAATAAGGTTTTTCCTATTGGCTAGTATCAAACCAAGAACAGCTGATCTCATTGGTCTTTCATTCATCCTTTGGAAATGAATGTTGTCAGGTGGAAAAGTAAGAATTTCCTGGAATAATTATTTCTGTTGGCTTTGTCGCTCAATAGAAGTGTAATTTTAATTTTTACTTTTATTTCTATAATTTAAATGCTTCCACACTGATTAGATACCTTAGTTGACCTAATAAAAGACATTGCCCTGTTAGAAAATGTGAAATTTAAGACAGAACAGCATATCAAAAAATACATGGTTTTTCTAAGATATCCAACTAAAAAATGCTTTTTTAAAAAAGAAATGTATTACACCATTACTTTAAAAAAAAAACCTATGCAAAAGAAACTCTTACTAACACATGCAACTAGTTCCATTTTTTTATCCAAGAAATATCCAGGTCTTGTCATGATAATAAGAAATAGCTTCACCCAACCAATCAATCACCTGGGAGTTGCTGATAAGTTTATCAGCAGACAGCATGCTAGCTTCTAGAGTGCATCAAATTCTGCACTATTTTTATTCCAGTTATTTTGTCTTAAAAATACTAACCTGAGTGCCAGTTTGATCTAATGGTTAAGGCACCAGGCTACAAAGCAAAAGACTGAGTTCACGTCCCGCTTTAGCTATGAAAGCTGGCTGGATGATTTGTGGCTAGTTACACTTTCGTAGCCCAACCCTCCTCACAGGGCAGTTGTGTGGAAAATAGACAGAGCAAAGTATTGGGTATGTTTGCTGTCTTGAGTTATTTTGTAAAAATAATAAAGGTGGGATACAAATAAATAATGTTCTTGAGTTGCACATATCTTGAGTTACACATATTTTTTTAGAAAAAACTGTTCTGAAATCACAGCATATATATGTGATTCAAATCCAACAGTAAATTATTTCTTTGCACTGCACTGTTAAAAGTCTCCTATTTGAATTTTTTAGTGAAAAAGAAATGCAGTAAGCTGCATTGCTAGCAAACACCATTGTTATTTCCAATTTATTTTTTAAAAAGTTCTCAGATAAGGCTAGAGACTATGTCAGCCTTTGGGGCAGATGTGACTTGAAACTGCTTAGGTTCAATTCCACGGAACTTAGTTTCTTAAACATGGTTGACTAGTGTTCAAGCAACTTGTGAAGCACATATATCAAATGTATGTGCAGGAGAAACAGCATAGGTAACTACCATGGTGTCTGCCCTAGAAGCCCAAAACTCTAATTTCAAAAACATTATTGGTTTCTTTCTGCTGCTGAGATTTCAGGCTATAAACTTCTTCCGTTCTCAATATGGTCAAACATAAAGCAGAATGAGTGATTCCTTACATGATCTCTAGCAAAGCCAGGTTCATGCTTTCCAAATACCTTTAAAAAAGCTTTGCTGGTGGACTTAATAGTTTTATTTCCTCTTGAATCCTAGCACCAACTCTTAAATGCATGGCATTGTCTTATTTTGGATAGGCATTTAAACCTTACACATAAATCTGCACTCTCTTCCTGAGCAAGCCACCTTCTTAGGGAGCTATTTTGATGCTGCATTATAATTACCCTCCTTCCTTTCCTTTGTGCATGCTATCTAAATACTGCCTGTAACAACATCACGATCTGTGGCAGAGAGGAGTGATAAGTATTACACTATGCTCGTTTATAACCAACTTAGTATTCAGAAGCTATTTAAAAGATTAGGTTTAACAGTAAGTATCAGGCGTTTCACTTCAAAAGTGTAAAAGAACCAAAAGTGATAAAAATTTCCCAGGAGGAAGCATTTTTAAAAAAATAGATTTTAATAATAATAAAATAATCCAAGACAAGCATTTAAAACATGTCAGAATTCCTTCACAGCCCAAACAAGTAAGTCCTCTTGTAGATTTCAAGGCTTCAGATCTTTGGAGGTAAAGAGCTTTCTTACCCCAAGGAAAGCATTGCTGTTAATCAGCAGAACTGCCTGGAAATAGCTTTAAATGACCACTTTTCCAACAATAGTTTTCTGCCTTCATTAGCTATGCAAAAGACATTGAACTAGTCTTCTAAAAATGTTAAGGGTATCATTCCAGCCTATTTTCAAGACTGATCTTTGGAGTAAGGAGTGCACAGAATGGGCCAAGTATATTCTATTTGGAAAAAAGCAAGATGAGTCTTGATTAAACAGTAACTCAGGAGCAGTTTTTAGTACTAGCTTGGTATCTCTGGTCCTCCATATACTATTGGATTATAATTCCTATGCCTGTGCCATTTAATTACTGATGGAATGTTTAGCCCATCATTATTTGGCAGTATTAATTACCACAGCTTCAAAAGTAATACATGCAATATTCAACTCTCTAACTTAATCTTAAATAGAACACCGAAGCCATGTTTCATTATGAGTTTGGCAGAATTAAGACTCTAAGGAAAAGATTTCCACAACCCAGAACTGTCCATTTATGCTGGAACTGCAACTCTAGCTATATTAAATAGCACTTTTGAAAGCCACAGTGCCAACAAACCTGGAGGAAGCAAGATTGAAGAAAACTGCTTCAGAAATGGCAAGATGATATCTTAGTGTTATTTTTAATCAAAATGTCAAATGTAGTCTTTTAGTTTAGCATTGATTTTTTTTACTTTAACAATTGTATCAAGCAAACAGCGAATGAGATTTTCTTGATGAAATCCTTTGCAAGGCTTCCCTCAGAATTTTTTGGTTGTGTATATAAATAGGAGCAATACTGAAAGCAGAGAAAAAACGCAGCACACAATTCTGGAGATTGAAATCAGCAAAAAAAATGTTTCTACGTTCTAGAATCTCAACTGCAAAAAGTATTCAACAGTTCATTGAATAAAGACATCACAGTAGAGGGTGAAAAAGTTCCTGTGGGTAAAATGGCTTTGTAGGACAATTCATACTTACTAAACAATGGGATTCTTGGTTTGCACTGATGATGTTGCCTAGTTGGGTAATGAAATGTCTGTAGGAAAACACCAAGTTCAGAGAGCATTAAGGACCCCACTGTTCAACCCTGAGCTAAAAATATTCTCTTCTATTGGTACTTACTACACCACAAAACAGACAAAAGTCCATGCCATTTCCAAGTATGGCATAGGTTTCCTGAAATATCTCCCCGTGCTGTCACATTATTCTATTCCATTCACTCATATTCTGAGCCACTGTTTCGGCAATTCAGTATATAGAGAAAAACTGCCTAATCAAGTCACCTTTCACATAAGATTACTCCAAACACAGGTCTCACCAAGCAATCACAGTAAGTGGAAAAATAAAGGTAGAGCGATTGTTCTTGCCACATCACTTAGGATTTCAAACCCATCTTAGCCATCATTTGTTCGTATACAGTCCATGCCATTGCTGCCATCAGTGTGCGCCGCAAAGCTCGTGGAACAGCACCATGGAAAAATCCAGGCAGCCCATAATTCTGTAGAGGAGGGGGGAAAAATAGCCATCTAATTCTTAAGCATCAGTTCTGAATGGTAGTTATTAAAGATCACTCTTTAACTAAAGATGGAAATAAAAACTACTAACTATAGAAGTTAGAATGAGTTAACAATGTTTTTATTAATTAATTTATTATTTTTTGATAGCTATCTTGCCACACATGTCAAAAACTATATCTATTTCTTCTAAGAGAATGCAAGCTCATCCAAAACTGGTAAATTCCCCATTCCAAGTATCACCCTCTACAACCTAGTGTCAAGATAACATTTCAGAATGTGCTTAGATTCTCCTGATTGACATATTACAAAGAAACAGAATCGTCACCAGCATATTGATTAGCTCTCAAGTTCATAACAACAACCACCCATACCCCACCCTGATTTCACTGAGATGTGAAATAGCATTAAAGATAAAGATATTAATAAAAGATAAACAGGACTTATGCTTCCTCTGTTTCTCTTCCACAAGAGATCATTTATCAATAAACCATGGCTGTACTGTCCCTAAAAACCACAATGAAGAGAGTTTAAATAATTTATGTCCTGTAACTATAAATTAAATAATTTATATCCTATAATCATTACTTGGGATCGAATGTTCTAGTTGTTTTGAGTTTGCACCTTAGGTGCCTGTTTCTATTGGTACTATTTTTGCTTTTTTTGCCACAATTATTCTATATTCAAAATACAATCTTTGTATTTTGCGATTTTCTCCAGTTTTTTTGTCTTTTATTCTACTGTCTCCATGTATTGCCAAGCCCACTATCCAGACTTTCTTTGTCTTTCTTATCAACAATTATTAAGTCTGTGGTGCTGTGTGGCAGATGCTTTTCTAATTGAATTCTAAGGTTCCAGCTTCTTTATTTTCTAACCCTTTGTCCATTGTGTGGTTCCATCAGTTCTTGTTTACAAAAAATGGTATTTCTTGCCAATATTCCAATGCACCATTGTTGCTACTATGTCCTGCTGGTGTTTGTAGTCCATCTGTGCCATCTTCTTACAGCAGTTAATAATCTAGTGCACTGTTTCTTCAGCTTCTTTGCAGAGGTGGCATATACTGTTTATTTTTGTCTTCTCAATTCTGATTTTATATGCATTTCATTTTAAGGCTTGGTATTGAGTAGACAGAATCTGTCTCTTTCTTCAACTTTTCTTCTCTTAGACCTTGTCAGGTGTTGTGCTGTGTACTTTGCCTGCTTTTTTTTTAATACCGGCCATATGGAGTCTTTGGAGTTCTCTAAGCTTGGAGACAAGCAAAACACTAACAGAGCACATTCATGAATACCAACTAGCAGTCAGAAGACACAAAGAAAATTCCTTAATTTCACAACAAACAGAGCTAACTATAGTTTCAACTGGGAAACTACGAACATCCTAGATCAAACTAAATCCAAAAATGCTAGGGAATTCCTGGAAGTTTGGCATTCAGACAACTCAGCCATCAACTGGCACATAGAGATAACATTTATATGTTGTTCAAAAGAGACAATAAAAAGCTAAACAATTTTTTTAGAATACCTCCTAGCCAGGAATACCAGATAACCATGGATTAACACCAGCAATACTAAACAAACCATCAACCAGTAAACAATGGCCTAATTAGGAATTACCAACTCAACCAATCAAGCACTAAATAAAAGTCTAATTAAGGAATAACCAAGGAGAAAACAGCACTCCCGTCAATACTGATGGAGCAAAATACTGTATACAAGAAAATACTGTATGCAAGATATTATATATAACCAGAGAACAAATCCCACTCCTTTCTAGCACTGAAGATATTACTTAACTAGATAATGAAATTAGTGTCTCCAATATTTTTTTAGCTTTTCATTTTCTCTTTTGAATGGTATATAAATATGGTTTATCTCAATGTGCCTGTTAATAAACCTTCATGGTATACTAGCTTCAGTGTATCTTCTTCACTGTCCTTCAGACATTCTTCCTATGACCTTTTTTCCTCCTTTAAATGTCTGGTATATTTCCAATATTCCATGCCTACCCATGCTCCATAGTTATGTAGACATTGTCAAATCATTGATAGATGAAGGGCGTTATTCATTGTCATTATTTTTCTGGTCTTCCTATCCAGAGTTTGTAGTTCTGCTTGAGCCCAGTCCATTATTCCAGCTGCATTTTTTACTGGAATTGTGCAGGTGTTAATCACTTGATGGTATTTCCTTCACTGAGTTTGGATCTTTCTGATATATTTACTACTAACCTTCCTCTTGATTTCAGTATGCTTGATATTGTCAGCATAATGTTATCACTTTCATCCAGACTCTTGATGTTATTTTCCACAGGGCCTCTTAATTCCTTTAATTTTCACTATTTTCCCCTTCTTGTTGCAGGTGAGTGGACAGGGAAGAGGCACCTCTATCCAGTCCAAACTCCACTGAAATATTTTGGCTGCATATTTGGGTACTGTTGAACAATGATTCTATTTCAGATATTTTTTTCCATACAGCTTCAGATCATCTGTGTAGAGGAGGTGGAATGGCCTGTCAGATATTTTGGATGTTTGATAGCCATGACCTGAGTATTTCAGTATTGTACACAGAGGAATAAATGCAATGACAGTCATGGTGATAATGAATCTCCTTGAAGGGTTCCCTCTCTTTCTGGACAAAAATCTAAATTGTATCAAAAGCAGTATCAACAGGAACAATAAAACAGGAACCAACACCATGCTTCAGAAAGCTAATTATCAATTAATGGGACTAAATAAGACAAAGCTATAGTGTTCACAACTTCTTTGTGCCAAGAGACACCTGGTTTGCCACTGCAGAAACAGAATGCTGGATTAAATTAGCCCTTGATCTTGTCTAATTAATCCAGCATTCTGTTTCTGCAGTGGCAAACCAGGTGTTTGCACGTATAACCAATCACTGCAAAATCCTGATGAAATTAATTTAGGAATACTTTTTCAGAAACATGATGAAAATGAAGTCAGCTGTCAGGTTTGTTTTAACTGAAAATATTTTGTGCTGGTGATTTAAGAGCCAAAATGCTGTTAACTATTTAATTCATTTAGCCTTACCCTGAATATTAAGGCAATAGTCTGTCCAGTGTGAAGGTATTTTTCAGATGAGAGTTGCATGTGTGTTTTGATGACATCAGCAGGCTGAGTAGCTAAAGAAGCCAGAATTCCAGCCACAGTTCCACAACCAAAGTTCACTAATGGTGCAACTGTTGTATCTAGTTGGCCTGGAAGATAGCAAGCAAACCCACAAAGTAATATTACAATTAATTTCTGCAAAGAATAAGTAAGAACAACTAAATACTTTATGTCACATCATAAGCAAGGACTAATTTAGAGTCAGTGTTTTAAAACCCCAAAATTTCAAATTGAAAAGGAGTATAATTGGAAAACAAAGTGGAGATGGATTTCTAAAGGCCCTGAAAAATCAGATTGCATGAATCTGTGGTACTGCACACCTAAGAGGATCCTGGCAAAATGATCAATGTTTTGAAAATTTGAATATATCATGTTTGCTTCACTCCTATTCATATGATTAAGATAAAAAAAACTATTTCAGCATCATTTTTCTCTTAAATTTGGCAGCTGTGATAGTTATACAAGTAAGAAACAAATCAAATTCCAGGAAGTTGAATGACAACTTGGTTTACCTTTACATTATTAATTCAACATTCCTAAAAAGTAACACTATTATAAAACTTCTAGTATTACTTGAACAAACAGATAAATATTAGAATCAAAGGAAATGCAGGTACCTCCGTTTTTTTTTTAAGCATACAACTTTTAGACCAGGGGTGTCAAACTCAATTTCACTGAGGGCCATATCAGGGTTGTGGTTGACCTCGGGGGGGGGGGAACACGGTCAGGGTGGGCATAGTCAGAGTGGGCATGGCCAGCTAAACATTGCTTGTGTTGGGCATCTTTGTGATCTGGGTGGGGCTGGGGGGATCCAGGCTGGTCCTTGAGCTCCCGGGGCACTGGGACCCTACAGCCCAGCCCTGCTATCACAAGAGGGCACCCTGCTGCGCTTATCTCCTCCTCGAAGCTGCTGCTGCTGTTCTTGCTCTCCTTGGCCAGGTTGCTCATGATGTGTGTGGGAGGGCAAAGTATGTGGGTCGGAGGGAGGCCCACTCTCTCTCCATATGAGGAAACCTGGCTTTGTAATTAAAGTATCCTCAGCAATAGGATGGGAGATCACCAGAAGAGATCAAGAGGAGACAAGGGGATGGCAAAAGGGCAGCAGGGCTGTTGGTGGCCAAATGCTAAGACAGGACTTCCCTCAGACCCTCCTTCTCTCTCATTGTAATCCCCTCCCTCCCTCCCTCTCTTCCTTCCTTCCTTCTTCCCTTTCCTTCTTTTTCCTTCCCTCTTTATTCTCCTTTCTTCCTTCTTCCTTCCCCCCCTTTCCTTCTTTTTCCTTCCTTACTCTCTTCCCCTCTTTCCTTCTTTTTTCTTTGTCTTTCCTCTTTCCTTTCTCCTTTCCTGTCCCTTCTTGGATGCTCAAATGCAAAAGGGTAAACATTTCTCAATGCCACCATGGAAAGCTTGGCTGACGTGGGCAAGGCAGGCACGCACACAGATTCTGCTGTTTTCAGCGGCGTTTTAGTGCCTGGCCCAGCAAAGTGGAGCCAGGCGTGGTGAGGCGAGGCCCGGCAAACCAGAGCTGGACAAGGGGAGGCTCAGTAAAACGGGCATGGCCAGGCATGATGGGCGAGGCCTGGAGGGGTGGGGCAAGACTGGGTGGGTCGGGATGAGGCAAATGAGCTGCAGCTGCTCCTGCGCACCACCAGCCTCTGAGCGCTATTTCTTATGTGTGCTTCAGGAGATTGCCCAGCCGGGTTGGGGTGGGCCAGGGCTGGGGCAGTGGGGGCCAGTCCCTTGCTATTTCTGGAACAGCTCCAGGGGCAAAATTTTGGCCCTTGGCGGGCCATATCCAGCCCGCGGGCCTTGTGTTTGACATGTCTGTTTTAGATAGCAGCAGCTTGTCTTTTTTTCAGAATTGTTATGTCTAAGCATTCAAATTGAAACACATGATTAATTTTTACATTCTTTATACCAAGCCATTCAGTCATGGTTAAAAGATTCATGGATCCAGAATCAATATGCTACAAAACAAGGCTTATGATTTAGAAAACCAAAGAGAGACGTAACATGTGCAAACTCAAGAACTTTTTGGGAAATTTCAAAGGAAAAAACAATTACAAAGTACTAGTTTTATGTAACAAATGACATACAAAAGGACATTTTCAAAGATAAAGATGTAAAAGATTTCTTGCCACAAAATCTCTTATAGAAACTATTTCATCTATTTTAAATTCTACAGAATAAGCCATAGAACCTTTTCACTTACCATACGGTGCAAGCTTTTGGGTCTGTGTATAGAACATCAGATAGATGCCAGAAAAAGGTGCATCACGTAGAAGTGTTGCTGACAGGCCACTAAACAATCCACGGGCCCCTTCTGACCGGTAGATATTTCTCAGGGCTCCATACACACTTTTATAGCTGTATTTTCCACTCTGTACATCAAATGTAATTATCAAAGTAAACATCCTACCACAAAAACACATCTGAACTTAAATACACGTGGAGCAGAAAAAAGTTCCAAATTACAAAGGATAATACTGGAACCATTGTAAGCTAATGATATCCATATTGAAACAATTTATTGTTATGACAGAATGATTTATATCAGAGATGTTTAAAAAAATCATGGTATTAATGTTCCTGATATTTTGGTATTATTATACCAATTCTATGGCAATTCTATTTTTTTAGTTATTGCTATAAGTTGCTTAGAGTTGGAAAGAGTGAAATAACATAAAAGGATTTGAAGTGTATAAATAAAACTCTCCAATAAAAAAACAAATTCTCACCTCATACCGTGTTTTTATTACTGTGATGGGTAACATACAAATAACAGCTACAGTCCGTGAGGTTGCTCCCAAAAGAACAGATTCCAAGGCAGTAGGAGAGTGTTCCCACAAAAAATGCTGTTTTATCATATATAAGGTACTGAAGTAAATCCCAACTCCTGGAATGCAACGTATAAAGGACTGCAACATGATGGCAAGCAGAACACATACGGATACAGAGAGAGAGAGAAAGAGAGAGAGAGACAACAATCACGCAAAGAAACAAATTTAAGGAAACCCAGATTTTTATTGGCTATTTTTAACTTTTATTTCAAAAGGATTGAGGCCCAATCTATTTTTTTCCAATTTAATAATGTTGCATTTTATGCAAGAAGCTCAAGAAATTTGCACGAAGTAGGATAGGCTGGGCAAAGGCAACTTGTCTAAAGTCATTTTATCAACTTCAAAAGTGAAGTGGAGATTTGAACTTCCATGGTCTTTAGCTCCAGTCAGATATTTCAGTTCCTGTATCTAAATTTCAAGCTTCATTCTTCAGCAACAGGGACACCCATGTGCAAGCACTTTTGTCAAAAGGCCCTTAATCAAACTAAAGAGACCACAGAGGACATGAGTGACGAAAAGTTGTCACTGCACTTTTGGAAAGGAGAATACTAATCGATTCTTTAGGCAATATGTATGATCAAGTAAAGCAGTATGGAAAGCTAATCATCAGACAGAGGTATTCCCATACTCTGTGATTAAAAAGGTACTAGTGAGCAATGAATTACACTTCCATGGAATCCAAATAAACAGCAATTTATGTTTGTGAGAAACAGCTGAAACACTGTGGCCATATTCAATCAATGTGTGGTCTAGAATTTGGTTAGATTAGTTCAGAATATGGTAGGAAATTGACCATTGTTTTGGCATAAAAGAACCTAGATCTCATAATGGTTTAGTCTGATCATATACAGTTTACTTGGATCTCTATGTCATCTGAGCATTCCCTTTCAGACTTCCATATTCCATTTTGAAAGCTCGATGACAGGGGTGTCAAACTCAATTTCATTGACGGCTGCATCAGCATTGCGGTTGCCCTGGGGAGAAGGTAGGTGTGGCCAGAGTGGGTGCAGCCTAGTGGGTGGGCATGGAATGGGTGTGGTCTACTGGGGGGGCATGGCCAGTTCTACATCATTTGCGTCAAGGATACCTATGGGGACCTGGGCAGGAGTGGGACAGATCTGAGGGTCTCTGGCAAAAGGAGGTGGGACTGGGGCAAGTGCCAAGGCCTGGTCCACTGGGGCAAATGCCAAGATGGCCACCACAAAATTGTACATTGGCTCCCGGCTGGCCTGGGCCAGGGCCAAGGCAGCAGGGGCCGTTCCCTCATGTGGCTTCGCGGGCCACATGAAACCACTTCACGGGCCGCATCCAACCCCTGGGCCTTGTGTTTGACATGTCTGCTCTATGGCCACTGTTATCCCCTGGCTCAACAATGTTCAATCAAATGTTATTTTGAGCCACTGTTGGATAAATTTATTCCTGAACTGGTTGCCACTGGCTTGTAGTGGGAAGGATTAAGGTTTCTTATAGATTCAAACTCAAAATAAGCTCATTCCAACAAATTCAATGCAAGCAAAAAAAAGTCACACTACTTATTAGAGACAACTCACTGGAGAAATACCTTTCCACAGCCCAAATATACTTTCTGTACGAGCAACTTTGAGGAGTAAAGTTATCATCTTAATACGGCCTGATCTGGCGGGAAAAATATATTGGATATTAGAAACAGGTATAGCTCAACAATCATGTATTACAGCTTCTCTACCAGGGGACATTCTGAATGACAGCCTACCCACCCCACTATCCCCCCATAAATACCATCAATTGTACTGGTTGTAATTATGAGATTGAAAATTTAACTCCACTGGAAGATTCCCAGTTCAGAAATATGCTCTACCAAAATAGTTGATAGCATACACAAGCCATTCTTCAACCTAGTAACTTCTATATGCATTGGGATCCACTGGAGACCAAGACACTTTTTCCTGAAGTTATTTAGATACAGGTAAATCCATACACATGGCCAAAATTCCACAGTTTTTATCTGTTGATTCCCAATATTACCATTAGAGAAAAATGCAAAATTTTGCTGTTGACTTCACTACCAGCAAGCATGTAGAGAAACTATCTTCCTGAATTTATGAGTAACTCAGATGTGCTATCTGAATGTTTTTCTCTTTGCACAATTAAGTTGGGATTTATCAATAAAGCCAACCTGTAGGCAGGCAAGACGTAATGCCAACTTTTCCTATAAGGAACAGCAATACATTTATATATCAGTTCACAGTGCTTTACAGCCCTCTCTGAGAGGTTTACAGAGTCAGCATATTGCTCCCAACAACCTGGATCCTCATTTTACCAACCTCGGAAGGATGGAAGGCTGAGTCAACCTTGAGCCAATCAGGATCGAACTCCTGACAGTCAGCAGAGTTAGCTTGCAATACTACATTCTAACCACTGCGCCACCAAGGATCCTAATGCATAACTTTTATGGATGTATTCACTTATATGGATGTATTCACTTATAAAATCATGTAAAACCTAGGACTACATCTTTGCCTATCTCATTGTTATATCGATTTCACCCTTTCCCATCACCTGATCACTTGATTTTAGCCCAGAGCTTTAAAGTCAACAGCAGAAGAATCTCCAATAAATATTTGAAATACTTGCCCACTGACAGTTGGCTGCACAGTCTGTAGCCTAGTTTTCAGCAAGTCAAGAGGCTGGAAGAGCAGGGTGGAGCATGTTCCACTGACAGAACCACAAAAAAAGGCTTTCAGCACAGGATGCATCTTGAAAGAAAAACAAACAAAATTAGATTGGATGCACAGTCAAAAATTAAAACTACACAATTTTTAATAACCATATCCCAGACTTTCTAGTCCTAAAAATAAAGATTAGATTAGGTGATATTTAATAAGTAAATGTTTTCAAATAAATAATAAACACTTATTCTTAAGAAAGCATAATAATCTTTTAAATCTCATGTAGAATCCTTTAGCATATAATTCTTGTTTAAAACATTAGCAATTTCTTCATTATTCTTACTAATTGGGTAACTGTGCTGCAAAATTTTTCACAGGAATTAATACGGCATCTCTCTGAGGAATTTTGATTTCTTTTAACACAGATACTCATTTATTATAATTCCTATATCTACAACTTGTTTACAACTTCAAGTAATCTATCATTTAATAGAAAGAACGGAAGCTGTGGGGAAAGTTTCAAAAAGTATATTGAGTCAAAAAAAGTTAAAAATAAATGAACACTAAGAAAGAATGAGGTCAGCTGGAAAAAATGAGATCAGAATTGTGGTATCTCAGACCCCTAGAATCATATAATCACAGATGTCTTAGCAGAATAGCTTACAATATTGCCTATCAGCTAAAAAGGCTAAAACCAAACTGTTTATAAGGAGCAGCTGTACAAAATGTAGAATGCATCCATAACTTCAGACTTGACTTCTAAAGTATTCAGATGATAAACATTAGTATTTTTAGATCATTATCCTTTTCGCAAAATGCTGTCAGTTGGCAACCAAAAAAAGAATATGAACATGCCAGCTGAAACTATCATCCTTTGAAGAAGCCAAATGCCTATCATAAAATTAAGCAATTCAAACATTATCTGGATCAAGTAGGTTATCTGGATCCTTTTCAGCCTGGGTTCAGGCTGGGGTATAGCACTGAGATGGCATTAGTTGTGCTTGCTGTTGACCGTTCAAGGGCTTGGAATGGCGGTGGTACAATTGCCCCGACTCTCTGGATCTCTCAGCAGCTTTCAATACCATCAATCATAATATTCTTCTGGAATGGCTCCAGGGGTTAAGAGTAGAAAGTATTGTTTTGCAGTGGTTCTCTTCCTCCATGGCTGGTTCTAGTTGGTGTTGGTGGGTGAGGAGAAATCGAGCCCCCAGCTCCTACAAGGTGAGGTATTTTAGGGCCGAAATCTTTTGTTACCCTTCTTTAACATCTACATGAAATCATAGGGTGAAATCAGACAACAGCACAAGGTTGGACAAGTAACATTGTTGGTATGTCCAAGTGCCTAGAGGCCATAAAAGCATGGATGGGGATGAACCGGCTCAATCCTGGCAAGATGAAATGGCTTTGAGCTTTTGGATCCCCATATCTGATGATCTTTGATCCTGGATGGAATTGTACTTCCCTGAACCAAGCTGGTGTGCAATTTGGGGGTCTTCTTGGTCTTATGGCTCCTGCTTGATGAGCAGATGGAAGCCATAGCTAGAGGCTCTTTGCATAGTTGCATCTTGTATGCCTTCTGCACCATTTTCTGGACCAGGAAGCCTTGTTCATGGTAAGTCATGCCTTACTCAACTGTCAGCTGCATTACTGTAATGCTTTTTATAAGTGGTTGCCTTTGAAGACCACTCAAAAGTTATAACTGGTACAGAACACAGTGATACACATAGTTTTGGGTGTCCATAAGTTCATCCATGCTATACGTTTGTTGCACAAGCTGTACTAGCTTCCAGTTTTCTTCAGGGTGCAATTCAAGATGCTGATTGTCACCTTTAAAGCCCTGCATGGCACAAGACCTTGTTATATGCAGGATTGCATAAGAATATCCATCCATCCCAGATCAGATAGGCTGGGCACTTTCAAGGTCCCATCCCTGAAATTTTGCCACCTAGAGGCACCTCAGAAGCCATGAGGTACCTTCATGGCTACCCATATGTTGTGGAACATTTTTCCACTGGTTATTTAATAGACTCTCACACTTCTAACTTTTCAGAAGGCCATTAAGACCTCTGACCACACTTATATTTGCACACTAGAGTATTAAATATGTTCACCAGCGTGGGTTACATATAAAAAGGATGGGACAAAAATGTAATAATGTCACCGAGAAGCAAACTATCTGATGGCCTCATGCTGTACCGATCTTGTATCTGCCTGTAGTCCTTATATAACAGTCCTCCTGGTAGGAATCCCATAGCTACAATCCCCTTTAAGCCCAGACAGAGGATCCTGGGATCTGTACCAAGAGTTTGGGAAGAACAAATACACACGATGCCCTTTACATACAGATAATACTGCACGCTAGGTAAGAGGTAGCGTTTGGGAAACCCCACGGGACTCGGGAGGCGTCACTGCTGAGTAACGTTACCGTCCCTCCCTTTTCTTAAGCCAGCCAATTTAACAGAGAGATGCGAGGTGAGGCAAACGACTTCACCAACCAGCCCAGCCTCCTCTTTCTTCCCAGAGGAACCGCGGCCCTTTTCTGATCCGGCGCCAAACCAACTTCTCAACTCGGATTCGGGTTTTGCCGGTGCGGACATTCCACGCAGCTGGTATCTGGGCGCAAGGGGCGTGGCGTCAGCGGCTCGCCTTCATCACCGGGCCAATCAGAAAGAAGGAGAGGAACCAAGACTGAAATGTCACTCTTTAACTCTTTCTCCGCTGAAGGCGCCTTCGTGCTCGGCTTACTTTAACTAGCGCAGGCGTCGGAGGCATCCCACCCCAGGATGGATACAGAGAACGGTGGCCAATAAGAAAGCAGCTGACGATTAAACTCTTTCTCAAGATAAGATGCTCTGAAACAAAAACAACTTTCGGTTTCTAATCTTTCCCTCTTGCAGCTTTGTTATTTTGCAAGCAAACAATGTTTCCGCTCACGATAACTATGAAATCCAACCACCTGGATTTGTAAAAACACTCCAGACGGCTCTCCAACCTACTTTTGAGAGAAAAGGAACAACCCAATGTTGCGTTCGCTCTTCGGGAGTCTTTCTCAAGGAATTCCCGAGAAAGGTTTCTTTCACTAGCACTATCCGTGTTAGGACTGCACCGACCTGCACCAACGTGCCAAGTCATTAGCTACGGTTTGCAATTTACAACACCTTCTACCCAAGCTCCCCAAAAATGTTAGCCGCCCAGCCACGACACTAGATCACAACCACAAGTTGAGCCGCTTCTGTGTTCTTACCGCTATAAATTCCACTTTGTGCTGCGTTTGGAGCAGAGCAGGAGTCCATTTCTGTATCATTTAAAACCTATGAAGGGGCCTCCTCATTAATTAACAAAAATCAATACAATAACGTTATTAAATAATATAATAAAATTCGACAATTGTCAAAAGGGCTTTCTCCTTCAATTTTTTTTTTTTTTTTTTTAATCCAAGAGGCTTAGCGGAAGAGGAAGGAGCCAGCAACCTAGAGATACGAAATATGAAGAGAGGCATATTCCCTATTCTTTTTCCGCTTCAGGATTCTATTTAGGCGCAGCAGCAATTTCCCTGGCTTCGGCCCCAAAGTGCCCAAAGATTTATAAAAGATGCAAAATTATGGAAAACATTCTTGGACTATGTTCATGTTACTAATGGTATTTTTTCAAAAAGTGCTTCGTGATAGAACAAGATTAATTTGACTATCTCAGACGCTGAAATTTGAAGCAATTCTGCCCATGAGGTTTCCCCCAAATATTCGACTGCCCCCCCCCCCCACACACACACACGTTTCTGTATTTGGAAGAGTCCTGAAGGCATGACTCTTTCGATCAGGCTTTCCATCAGAATGACTGACGTCTCTTCCTTTTTGTTCTCCTCTGAATTTATTTTCTTTGCAATCATTGTTCCTTCTGTCTTATGCTGGTTGGTTGGTTGTGTTTTGGGTCTATCTGTACATTTTCTACTGTTTTTCACTTTTAAATGTTTTAATAATTGCAAACCCCTCAGAGTCATTGGGAATTGGATAGCATATACATTTAATGAATTATTATTATTGGTCATACAGTCACCCAGATATAAACAGTGGATTTGACATTTTTATACTCTTATTGAATTCTTTCCAAAGATCTGCGAATGCTCCCCTCGTTTCCTTTTCCGTCCGGTTCGGCGTTGACTTTCAGTGCCATATTGCCATCTAGTGGCGGTCCAATAAATGGCTGCCCTTTAAAATATTGTAGAATTCATCATTATTTTAGCTATTATATATCCATTATAGCAGAGGTCACCAACCTTTGTTGGTTGACAGACCGGATAAAAAGGGAGGGGGAAGCATTTTACGTGTGTGTGTGTGTGTGTGTGTGTGTGTGTGCGTGTGTGTGTGTGTGTGCGCGCGCATGCGCATGGGGCCACAAGCACACATGTGCTGCAAACGGCAGGGATACTTCCAGCGTGATACTCAGTAGCCCTGCCCCATTCTTGCATGGTGCAGCATCTTGTTTTGCGCCCCACAATGCGGCAGTGACTATTTTTGCAGCATAGTGGCAACCCATTTTTATACTCCATGGTGTTTTTGTGCCACGCAGCACAGTGGTGGCCCGTTTTCATGCCCCAAGGTGCGGCACTGGCCCATTTTTGCACCCCATGGCACAGTGTCCTATTTTTGCACCCTGCAGCTGCAAGGCTAGCACAAGAGAGGGGGTATGCACATACACGTGCGCACACAGTGGCCAGCCTGTCCTGCGGCCCGGTGGCTAGGAGGCCACAGCCCAATACCGGGCCACAGCCCACAGGTTGGGGACCCCTGCACTATAGGATGAAGGCATGTTCTGCATGTTTCCAACCAATATGGCCCTGAGATTTCTTTTGCCAATTGTACCCACAATACTTGCTGAACTGTAGTATTATATATACTATTCTGATTCTGGTCTCCATAGAGTATACTGTAGAATCAGAATAGAGCTGGAAGGGACCTTGGAGATCCTCTGGTCTAGTCCATCCACTTGCTCAAGCATTTCTGAAGAGTGACTGTCCAGTCTCTTCTTAAAAATCTGCAATAATGAAGCAATCACAACTTTTTGACTAGTTAATTGTCCTCACTCTAAGGAAGTTTCTCTTTAATTCCAGGTTGCTTCTGTCCCCCATGCTCTTTGTGGCAACCTCTCAAGTACTGAATACTACTATCATGTAAACCCTAGCCCCTTTTTTCTCTAGACTAGCCAAATCCTGCAACTGTTCTTTATATGTGTCCAGGCCTTTAATCATTTTAGTTGCTCTGTAATTCAGTCAGTCAGACTATTCATTTTTCAGAAAAGTTGGAACATTTAAATTAATGGTTATTTGCTGTTTCATAGCAATATTCATATACTTATCAAGCACTTTGTGTTTCTTGATTTAGAAATAGGAGCTTTTTTCTCTATAGGTAGGTCTCAACTTTGACTGGTTCCTTAGTGACCATTTGAAATTCTGACTTGAAAAAGGGGACTTACAGCTAGATTCAAAGTTTTGACAGTTGCAAAATATAGTCACATGACTAAATTTCAGGCACTCAGAAACCAGGATTCATTCATTCATCCATCCATCCTTCCATCCATCCATCCATTCATTCATTCATCAAACAAAAATTACAAATTTGAACTAACAAAATGAAAAAAACTAAAATGTGACAGGGACAATAGGCATGCACGTACCCCCTTAGGAGTGTTTAAATATGGGATGAGATCCACAAAAATTAAGTTGTAATTAAAACTGTGAAAGTTAGTATCTGATTAAATTTACAACCATTTGCAGCATCCTGTGGTCACATGACTCCATTTTATGATCATTTTGCTGAAAATCAGCAGTTATCTCTGATTTATGGGTTAAAAAGTGCCCAGCGTAAATTATGGGTTCACTTAACAATTGTTTTCCTGACATTTCAATGATATGCTTCAAGATCCCACTGGAGAACCATCATTTTAGCACATGTGTTTCTTTGACATTGTCTTCAAAAAATATTTTCTTTGTTCTAGGAATTGAGATCTCTTCTTTGGTGCTAGCCCAACTGCTCCACTAATATTTTGCATTCATTTTAGATTTTAATTAAAGAAAAATTGTGATCCTACATGCATAGTCCCAATTTCAACTTTTGATCTAAAAACATGCCAAAAAGGGCTCAGAATGTTTTCTGTTTTTCCTATGAGTTGCCAAACAATATCTTTTTTCCAGGCACCATAATACCCATTAGCATCATGACATTTGTACTACTCCTACGTGGTATCCATAAGACACCCCACCCCCAATTATAAACATGAATTAATAAAAAGCCCCGAATTCTTAACATTACAAATGTCACAAGATAAATGAAATGCCAAATTTTATAAGATATTCTGGGGCAACTGAAATCTCACAAGAATTGGGATATTATATTTTAGTACTTGCTCCATTGCACAAAAGTCAGTTCTGCTTTTGATCCCTGAAATCATAATGCATAATGTTTTAATTTATTCAATTCTGCTGTATGCCATTTCAAGTCTGAACTTCGTTGTTTTGTCATCCAAGTATGTGCATTATTCTTGAAATTATTTTCAATCAGATTTTTTTTCACTTTTTTTTTTTCATCAGTTCAGCTTTCAGAAAAAGAAATTTTCTGACTGGCCATAGCTATTTTATGAATGGGTGGGTTACAACTTGCTGCTGTGCATGATCCAATTGTTTTTCCTGGAAGCTTGTTAAATTAAAAAAAAAGGTCAAGTTATAAAAATCTCCACCTCTTCTTTTGGAGAAAAAGAAATCTGCCTTGAAAATGTAAGGTTTTTCAGCTCAGAATCCAAATAAAAACCAATGAGACTCTGAACACGAGCCTTCTGCGTAAGAATACAGCTTTATTCCTTTGATCAAAGTTATAGACTGGGCTCTTCAATCTCTTGTCACATGCAGGCACTGCTGTGAAACAACGTAGAAAGAAAGGGCACCTAATCAGAAAAAAATCTTCTTTTTATAACTAATACATATTACAAGGTTCCTACGCATCTAAAAGGTTCCTTTAAATCTCCTTATCTATCCTATCCTAGTTACATTTCTGCATCTCTAAGCTTGAACATACAATAGCTCAATAGCTGGCAATTAGCCCAATAACTTTGTTACTTTGCAGGCCATTAGAGAAGCAAAGAACTGTTACATTTACCATCCAAGGAAAAAGGGGATGGAAAGCAAAGGAAGTGTTGCAGTTTCTTAGCTAGGCTTTCTTTTGAAACAGAGAAGTAACAGAAACATTTTCTTTGGTCAGCACAATTTAGAATACAATGGAGCACATACAGAAAGCAAGCAAGAATAAATGAACAATAGCTGGGCTATGTTTTACATGAACAATTGATTATACAATAAAATATTATTGTTGTGTATTGACCAAATTTCTAATGGCAGTTATAAGCTGTTAATTGAATATGTTTAAATCAAGTTTCTAACTGTTTGTGTATTGTTACAAGCTTTAAATTCGTTGGCTGCCACCTAGTGGCAGTCCGATATAAATAGGAGCCAAGCGGCTATTAGAGTCACTTCTGTGTTTATTCAATAAAGAGCTGTTGCCTAACCTTCGGTCTGATCAATGCCTCACCGATCCCAGTATTTAACAGTGGTGACAAAGGTGGGATATGCTGCTAAGGATAGAGAGAGTTGAAGCATTAGAGCCAGAGCCAGAAGTCAATAAGGGCTGAAACCAGGCACTAGCGCCGTGGTAGGGACTGTGTCCCTCTTGCCAGCAAGCCACCCTGGAGGCACCATTCTCTTGAGGCATCTGTCCCCACGATTCACAGAGCAGCATAAGGCATTCGACAGACCTCGTGAGAGTCAGCTATGGCCAAGGTGGGCAAACTGAACGAATTTGACGTTTTCCATCTAGATCAATGGAGCTCCTACATTTCCAGGGTGGAGAATTACCTGCAGGCCAATCAGGTGAGGGAAGATGGACTGAAGGCTGCTACTCTGCTATAAATGTGCAGATAGGCGAACTTCGACATAGCGGAGAACCTAATAGCCCCAGCCAGCGTAGAATTAGTCACCTACACCGATCTGAAGAGGAGACTAAAAAAACACTTTGAACCCAGGCTGTCAGTCATTGCTGACATTGGCACGCATTCGAGCAAAGAGAACAACAGCCCAGGGAGTCAGCTGCTGAATTCGTGGCTGCCCTTAGGCAGGCGTCCAGAATTTCCAGATTTAGAGGATCGGCTCAACTCATATACGGCCTGAGAAACAGAGAATTACAGCAGAGGCTGTTTGTAAAGGAAACCTTGAGGTTCCAGGATGCATTGAAAGAAGAGATGGCAGAAGAAGCCACAGGTGGGCAGTGAAGGCATCACGACCCCGAAGACCCCCCCCCCAGCCAGACAGCTGTTCACTACAAAGAC